CCCCCGGGGGGGCCAGATTTTGGGGGCCACCCCCCTCAAACAAAGGGTGGGGGGAAACCCCGGCCTTTGGCGACGGGGAGGGTTTTTGGAGGACCTCCTCCTCCACTTGGTGGGGGCGGGGGTCCCTTTTTTGGGGAGAGCCCCCCGAATCTTTTTACAAGCCCCCCCCCGGCGGGGGGGGGCAACCCCCCGCCAGGGGATGACGGGGGGCCCCCCGTCCTCCAGAGGCGGGGGGGGGGGAGACCCTCCCGGAAAAGGGGGGCCTATGGGGCCCCCCCCCCCCCCCCCTTTCCCTTCCCCTTCCCCCTTCCCCCTTCTGTCGCCTCGCCATGGCGACCATCGGGCCCGGAACCCCCCCAGCCCCCCCCATCTCCTGCGCCGCCGGTGGAGCGTAGTCACTTAATTTGTTAGTTCGTGTTGATTGGCTGCAGGTGGAGCGTAATTAATGACCTGTGAGTTCTGTTGGTCTGGCCTGCAGGTGGAGCGCATCCGCGAGACACTCAACCTCGCGCCAGGCGGGCTGGTCAAGATTGTCAAGGAGGCGCACGCCGCCCTCGGCCTCACGCCGGAGGGCGGCCTCATCCAGCAGACAGACTTCCTGCTGCTCAAGCTCTTCGGGTAGTCGCCGTAGTACTCCACGCGCCGCGCGCGGGCGGCCCCCGCGCTGGAGGGCACAGCGCCCCCCGCGGGGCCCCCGCGTCGCGGGCGCGTTCGGCCTCTTCTCGACGCGGCGCCTCGTCGCCGCGATCCCCTTACGTTCCTTTGTGCGTGTGTGGTTGCGCCTTTGTTTCCACTGAGCGTGGGAAACAAGCCGGCACGGGTGGTGTGCGAGCCGCATACGCATGTTCCTCTCCTCTGTATGCAGGGTGGTGTGAGAGTGTGTACATGGTGTGCTGCAGTGCTCTCGATGTGCGCAGGCGTGTGGCACGGGAGTGTCTAGTCCCGGCCGAGCGCGCACACGCTGTCTCTTGGTCGTTAAAAGGTATTTATTGGTGCTTTTGCCATGTGCGGCGAGTTTTGTACTCTAAGACCGAGACACACACACGGGTTGTTCTTGTTGCACGAGTATGTGACAAAAGCTGTGCGTCGAAAATGTCCGAAAAAGTGCTTGCTCTCGACCGGATGGGCGAGATGATGGTGTTTTGCTGCAAGGGCTGGCGAGAGCGGGCCAGGAGCGGAATCGACGAACTCCGCCGAAACGCCGCGGACGCGCGTTTTGGCAATTGGATCAAAAACGCTCTACGTCCGGCCGCTCTCTCCTCGGCAAGCCCGCCCCCTCTCGCGCGCATGTCGAGCAGCGAGTCCAGCAGCGAGTCCGCTGAGGAGACTCTGCAGGGTGCGTACGAGCACCTCTGGATGATCGCGAGCCAGATGGACGACATCCAGATCGATGATCGCGAGCCTCGAGACTGACATTGACTGGGCGGACGCTTTCCGCTGGAATGACGCTAAACTTGACGCAGCGGCGCTGGCACTCTACACCGTTGCCGTCCACGTCGACGTGGGGGGTGACGACCGATTTCGGGCAGCTCAACAGAGGGCCCAGCGCCGCCTCGCCGTCAAGTTCGTCTCCGAACTTGAGAGGGCTCACAGTGGAGGTCGCAAACGCAGACGCTAATCCCTCCCTGAACCCTGGCGGCTCACGCCACTTTCCTGCGGTTCACGCAGTCTGGGATGCGAGGCTGTGCCTCTCCTTGGCAGATCATGCCATTCTCGCGGCTCACGCGCGCGGCTCACGCGCTTTCAACCCGCGCTTAGCCCCCTTCTGGTGGGGCAGTGCGGGTCGAAGGTCCTCCCGGCTCATGCCACTCGATTGCGGCTCACGCAGTCCGGGATAGGAGGCGGTGCCTCTCCCTGGCAGATCATGCCACCCTTACGGCTCACGCACTGGCGACTCACGCCTCCCTTGCGGCTCACGCAAGCGCTCACGCCATCCTCGACTGCAGCCTGGGTGCCGAGGCGGTGCCCCTCCCCCTGGCTATAGGGGATTCGAGGCGGTGCCTCTCCCTAGAGGAACGGGATGCGAGGCGGTGCCTCTCCCGGGCGGTTCGGTCGGCTCACACCGAACGCGGCTCACGCTGAGCGGGGCGGATCACGCCCCATCGCGGCTCACGCACTGGCGACTCACGCCTCCCTTGCGGCTCACGCAAGCGCTCACGCCATCCTCGGCTGCAGCCTGGGTGCCGAGGCGGTGCCCCTCCCCCTGGCTATAGGGGATTCGAGGCGGTGCCTCTCCCTAGAGGACGGGATGCGAGGCGGTGCCTCTCCCGGGCGATTCGGGGAGCAGAACGGACGGATCGTGCCCCCTCGCGGCTCACGCGGTGGGGCTCATGCTATCGCGGATCACGCGTGGGAGCGCGTCGGCGTTCACCGGGAGTCTGTTGCAACGCCGTGCCATCAGCAGGCCAACGCTAGTCCACCGACTCTCCGGACGGCGCGTCCTGAAGGGCCTCAACTCTGTCACCGGACGCGACCGGCCTCAAAGGGGTCTGAGAGGTCCGGCCTCTTCGCGTACGGCGATTCTAAGCCCTCAATACAAGCATGAGCTCCTCTCCCCCTCGGTCTGGGAGCTAGCCCGACAAACGGCAAAAACTGCTTGCTCTCGACCGGATGGGCGAGATGATGGTGTTTTGCTGCAAGGGCTGGCGAGAGCGGGCCAGGAGCGGAATCGACGAACTCCGCCGAAACGCCGCGGACGCGCGTTTTGGCAATTGGATCAATCACGTCCGCTCTCTTCGGCAAGCCCGCCCCCTCTCGCGCGCATCCCACCGTCCAACCCCTGCGCCTCCTTTTCGTGTGTGCGAGTCCGGGGGGGTCTGAGAGGTCCGGCCTCTTCGCGTACGGCGATTCTAAGCCCTCAATACAAGCATGAGCTCTTCTAGCAGCGCGTGAGGACTCAAGGAGCGTCACACCCAGGATGGCAGAGAGCACAAGCATCACCATCATGTAGGTGTAAACCTGGGGCTTGTACGTCCCAGCGATGCAGCTGATCGTGCTACAGCCGCCGATGCCCCACTCACACGGTCCGATGTGAGTGTCTTCGTCGAAGTCGGTGAGGACAGCGAAGAAGATGCCCAGGAACCCGGTGACCAGGGCGACCATCACCGCTAGCATGCCATTACGCAGGTACGACAGGGGGAAGCCGGGCATGTCGTGCGAGGGGGCCGCCGCCACGCAACCGCGGCTGCCGTGGCAGCCGCGGCAGTGCTCGAGGATCGGGAGGAGGATTGAAATCAGCACGGGAAGAGCGGCGACTACACTCAGGCCCGCAATCTCGGAGGGCTTGAGTTCGGACGCACACGAACTACACTCAGGCCCGCAATCTCGGAGGGCTTGAGTTCGGACGCACACGAACCGGGATCGATCTCGCATTCGGAGACGGCGCACGACATTCATTGGTGAAGTGCAGTGACCCTGCAACACGAGTACGGCTGCCGAGTGAGTCGTTTGACTGTGCAGATCGGAAGCTGTGTCCCTCCGACAATGAAGCTCTGTGTCCCTCTTATTGAAAGAATTTTACAAGGAAATAAGAATTCAGCCAATCATTTGGTGTTTGCTGTTTCCGTTATATTTATTTATTTTTATAGCCAAACATTCTCTCTCACAGGTTCGAGGAATTTTCAACAAGCTCCCTCGCACGACACTGGGCACGGGACGACCGCGAGGTGGCAAAAGGTTGCAGCGAGAATCGGCGAGAGACACTGCGAATTCCTTATCGCTCTAAAATCTGAGGATTCAGGAACAACATTTTCGCTTCAGTGAGGCCAAAGTGAGTTTATGGATCTGTGAGAACGGTACGGAACACGAGGAGGCACGCGGACCGACTCGTCGGTGACTCTGCCGCACGCCGTTTCAGAATTTTTCTCAGCGTGAGCCAAGCTCGAGGAGCGAGCCGGGGAAAGGGCCCGTGCTGCTGCTGCACCTGTGCGCTGTGCTGGCGCAAATCCAGGGTGCGCCACCGCCGGCGCGCAAGGCCGCACGCCCACGCGTCAGCCGTCACCTCGCGGCGCAAGCGCGCACAAAGTCGAGCACGAGCGGGTTGACGGTGCCGGGCGCCTCGTCATGCGGACAATGGCCGACGCCGGGCAACGGCACGACGCGCTGCACAGCGGCGAACCGCTCGAGCGCGCGCACGCGAGCGGGAGGCGTCCACGGGTCCTGCTCGCCTGCGAGGGACGCGTCTCGGACGTGTCTCGGACGCGTGTCGGACGCGTCTCGGACGTGTGTCGGAGGTGTCTCGGAAGTGTCTCGGAAGAGTCGGGCTGGGGGGTCTCAGGGCGTGTCTCGGAAGTGTCTCGGAAGAGTCGGGCTGGGGGGTCTCAGGGCGTGTCTCGGAAGTGTCTCGGAAGAGTCGGGCTGGGGGGGCTCAGGGCGTGTCTCGGAAGTGTCTCGGAAGAGTCGGGCTGGGGGGCTCAGGGCGTGTCTCGGAAGTGTCCACAGGGGCCCCGTGCTCGCCGTACAGCACGAGCACGGGCGCCTCGAGTCGTGTGTCGGCCAGCTGCTGCTCGGGGAGAGGGCCGGCCTACTAATGAACCAGTACTTAACTATTAGTTCACTCTGAGTTCACAGCTGCTGCTCGGGGAGAGGGCCGGCCTACTAATGAACCAGTACTTAACTATGAGTTCACTCTGAGTTCACAGCTGCTGCTCGGGGAGAGGGCCGGCCTATGCGAAGGCTGCGCGACAGCTCACTGACGGCGCCACGGCTGCCGCTTGCGGAGAGGAGCCGCCGAGTAGGAGAGCGTGTCGAAGACGACGTCTGCGCTGCCCGGCTGGAGGAGCGGCGTGAGCAGCACCTGCAGAAAAAAGAAGTCCGAGCCGAATCGCAGGGGGGTGCGCGCCGGTCGGCGGGGAGGAGCGGGGCGGTGGGCGGCACATCGACGAGCTCGTCCGTCACCTGTTAAGTAAGGGTGAATTAATAGTTGATTAATAGTTGATTAACACGTCGACGAGCTCGTCCGTCACCTGTTAAGTAAGGGTGAGTTAATAGTTGATTAATAGTTAATTAACACATCGACGAGCTCGTCCGTCACCTGTTAAGTAAGGGTGAGTTAATAGTTGACTAATAGTTGATTAACCCGTCGACGAGCTCGTCCGTCACCTGTTAAGTAAGGGTGAGTTAATAGTTGACTAATAGTTGATTAACACGTCGACGAGCTCGTCCGTCACCTGTTAAGTAAGGGTGAATTAGTAGTTGATTAATAGTTGATTAACACGTCGACGAGCTCGTCCGCCACCATGTCCGCGTCGAAGTACGGCTCCTTGAGGATCTGCTGCACCGTCGCCGGCTTGGCGAGCGCGTCGAAGAGCGGCTGGCCTGGGGGGGCGGTGCAGAGGAAGGAAGGGTCCGAGACGAGTCTGCGGCGTTGGTGGCGAAGCCGCGAGGGCGTCGAGAGCGTTCCTCTCCCGCGCGGCGTTGCGTTCTCCACGACTGTGTTGGGAAGGCTCTGGGAAGGCTCGGGAAGGCTCTAGGGGGTGTTGTCCTCTCTCGCGCAGCGTGCGCTGCACCGCCTCGATGATCGGCACGAGGAGGGGGCGCAGGAGGGCTGGCTGCTCGCTCACCTAGACAGGAGAGGGGTGCCGGCTGGCTGTGGAGGGCGCAGGGCGTGGAGGGCGGAGGTGGGCGTGGAGGGCGGAGGTGGGCGTGGAGGGCGGAGGTGGGCGTGAGCGCGCAGCTCGCCTGCGAGAAGAGAGACACGGCGCACGGAGAGGGAGGTGAGACTGCGGTGGGCAGACGCCAGCGCCCTGGGCCCGCTCACGTGCAGCTCTCGAAAGTTTGGGTTGACGATCGCCACGCCTGGCAAAGAGGTCTCCTCGTGGACAGAGGGACGGAATGAGGAGCGCCTGGGCCGACGGCTGCGGAGACCGTTGATCCGTGCGGGCGCGTCGATGGCGGCCTGCAGCGCGCTGATCGACCCGATCGAGTTTGCGACGAGGGTGACGGGCTCGTCGCCGCCGATGACCTCCGCCTCAAAGTCGAGGAGCTGCTCGCTCCTACAAGAGAGCGTGCGGGACATTTCGCAAAAGTGTCACCTCTCCTCCGCCTCAAAGTCGAGGAGCTGCTCGCTCCTACAAGAGAGCGTGCGGGACAGTTCGCAAAAGTGTCACCTCTCCGCTCCAACAAGAAGGGTACAGGTCGCTCCAGGTGTAAAAGTTGTACGGGCTGCCCGCGACCGGGTGAGCCAGCTCCACCTCCACCCCCTCGCGCGTGCCGCCGCCGGCTGTGCCAAGGTCAGCGACCGGCGCGCTGAGGCTCCGGCCGTTCTCGCCGCTCACAGCCTTCGCCGCTTCGCTTAGGGGGTTCGGCTTGCTGCTGTAGCCGTACCCGAGCAGGTCGATCGCGTAGCAGCGGCAGCCGGCGTCGGCGAGCGCGGGCAGGTTGCGGCGCCAGTGGTCCGCGTTAACAAAGAGGCCGTGCACAAATAGCACCGCCGGACCGTCCGCACGCTCGTCGCCGAGGCACTGGTACCGCACGTCGAAGCCTCGCCAGCGCCAGATGCGATTCTGGAGGCCGGTGGGCGACACGGGAGGCATCGTGACGCCTAGGGAGGCGACGGTGGCGGCAAGCATGGATCGAAAGCTTCCGCGAAACGAAAAAAAGAAATCTTCCCCGCCACAGAAAGCAAGGCTCGCCAGAAAAAAGAAATACAAAATGGAGTAGCGCGCACCGGCACTAACACATTGACATCAGAGCTTGGCACTCAGTGCCAAAAGCGACGCGCTCGGGGCTCGCTCGGCGACGGCGTAAAGTGAAGCTTGCTGTCCGCGCGCGGCCACCCCACATACCCGACCGGGCACACGCATGGGGATGGGCTAAGGATTCGAACTAGAGGCAACACCTTCTGAGGTCCTACTAGAGCCGGCATTCACGGGGTGCAGGACGCGCCCGGCCGCGATCGACGCACGCCGCGATCCCTGCTCCGACTTAAGCGAGCGGGTGGTACTTGGAGAGCGGGACAGCCTCCTTGGACGCAAGCTTGCGGCGCTCTGCCTCGCACACCGAGCAGTCGACCTTGATAGCGAAGCCCTCCTCACTGAACCCCATGAAGCAGTGCGTCTCCTGCGCCACCGCGGTGCAGCCGGTGAAGGTGAAGTCTTCGTTCAGGCCCTCGTTCTCGTTCGACATGGCGCCCAGGATCAGGTCCGCGTCCGGGCCAAGAAACGGGCAGCCCGTTTCGTAGGTGGTCTTGACGTACTGGCCGCATCCCGGCGGACCAGGGCGCAGGCAGGTGCCATCGCCCGTGATGCCCGGGGCAGCGCTGAAGGTCTCGGTGAGGGTCTCGGTAGCGTTGGGCACGGCGCTACGGAACGGGAGGTAGTGAAGCACAGCCGCCTTCGTGGCAGTGTAGAGGAAGTCGCCGCCGGCCGGGCCGAAGCCGAAATTGTCGGCGAGGACCAGCGGGTCCACGCTCGAGTCGACCACGGCCATGGTGTACGGGTCCACATAGCCGAAGAGGTCCTCAGGACAGCCCGAGGGCGTCTTCGGGGTCGAGCTGAAGCCGTGCGCCGAGGCAGTCAGGGCGGCGATCATGGATCGGAGGGGGTACGGAGGGTTTTAAGCATCGTAAGAAGGCGCTGTTCACGCGGAGCTCGAACGACCTGTGTGTGTGTGTGTGTGAGTGTGGTGTGTGCGCGCGCGGGTGTGTGTGTATGTGTGTGTGTGCCCCACGATCCGATGCACTCGAGGCTGCCCGTCCCGGCCGCTCTACACATGGGGGTACGGCTTTAACCGGTTTCGGGTTTGCCTTTGCGCCTCTTCCGGCTCGGCACTAGTTCGGCTCGGCACTGCATGGGGACGGCAGCGTTAGCATGGGCACTAGTGCGAACCGAACTCGGCGTTCCCGAAGTCACCTCCTGTGCTGAGGTACTGTCTCAGTAGGCGCTTCCACCTGCAGAGGTTCCTCCTTGTTCCGCTCCCCCCCCCCCCGGCAAGGCGTGAGACACACAGAGTGACACACACACACGATCTGAAAAGCACGGCACTCACGCATGGGAGTCTGAGATCACAGTCGGATCAAGGTCGGAAGCTCGGAACAGGTCACAGTCTTACCCTCCTTATCCCCCCCCCCCCCCAAAACGCGAAGCGCCGGCCGACTTCTCACGCCACCGGAAACGCCCGCGCAACGCTCCTGTACCACTCCTCGTGCAACAACGCCGCATTCTGCAGCGATCCGATGCCGCGCGGCGCGGCGGCCAGCTGCATGTGGAGCGACAGCGCGAGGTCGTCCTGCAGGAAACCGCCGACGCTGAGCCCCTCCTCGAGGTTGAGCGTCGCGTGCGCCCAGTGCGGCGGCACGTAGAGGACGTCGCCTGCTTCCTGCACGCAGAACCGCGCCCCTTCCTCCGCCGCGGCGCCGCCCGCTCCGCCCCCGGGCCCCCCGCCGGCGTGGCCCCGCCGCCGCCACGCCTGCAGCCACTCCGAGTCGAGCGGGTGCTGCTTTGCCGGCGCGAAGGACGCGCGCGCCGGCGGGAGCAGCGCCCACAGCTTCCTCCCCCACCGCAGCCCGTTCCAGACGGCGCCATGGTGGTGAAGAGGCAGACCGCTGCCGTTGGGGCCGATGAAGAGGTCGATGCCCGCGCCTAGTGGATCCGCCACGCCGCGCGCGTCAGAGCCACGCCCCGGGCGACCGAGGAGGCGGCAGAGCTGTCCGCCTCCGGCGAGCCGGCTGCCCGACTGCAGCTTTGGGTGCGCCACCGCCCGCGGCCAGCCGCCGCGCGACGCGTGCGCGAAAGCGGCGCGCGCAGCGTCTGGGTCCACGGGGCGGTTGAAGGCGAGCGGCCGGCGCGGCGGCTTGCGCGCGCCGGCTGTACCTCGGAAGCGGTCGAGGTAGCGGCGAAGCCTCGTGGCGTTGCCTCGCAGTAGCAGCTGCGGCTGCCACAGGACGTCTCCAAACAGCTCCAGGAACTCGTCCCGCTCCTCTGAGCCGTCGGCGCGGGCGCCGGCCGCCTGGAGCAGCCATGCCGTACGGGTAAGGACCCACCTCTCGAGGCGCCCGCCAAGCGCGACTTGAGCGGCGCGGAGCTATCCCTGCGCAGGCGATCTCGGGGCTATCTCGTGTGATCTCGTCCTTCATGGCCATCTCACCGCCATCGCACCCCCCTCCCCCCTTCTCTCGGCTCCTCCCGTGCTTTAAGAGCGCACCGTGCGCACCTCTGTGCCCCCACCAGGCGGTGAGGCGAGCGCACCGCGGAGAGCGACCGGCCTCCCCGCGCGCGCATACCGCCGCAGAAACGCGTCCGCGTCGAGGGCAGCCGCCGCAACCTCGTCAAAGTCGCACCCGCCCGCCTCGGTGGCCAGCGCGGGCGGAGGCGGGCGGGGCGGAGGCGGGCGGGGCGGCCGCGCCGGAGGCGGCGTCGCCGCACCAGAGGCGGAGCCACCCCCCTTCTCTGACTGCTCCTTGGCGCGTGCCCGCAGCCACGACAGGGCCTCGAGCTGGCCTGCTGCCTCGGCGTGGTCGCCGGCGTCGCGTCCCTCGCCGTCGGTCGCGCGCAGCGCCGCGGAGGCGCCGCCGCCCGAGCCGCCGCCTCCGCGTGCGGCAGCGGCGTCGAGCAGCCGGCGCAGCACCTTTGGAGTCAGAGGGGGCCACAGGGCAATCGTCGACGTGCTGGCGTGTCGCCACACCGCCCCAAGGTCGTCCCTGCGCCACCCGGCGATCACTACCCCACCGCCGCCGGGCGGGCAGACGCGCCCACAACCCGCTCTCCCTCTCTTCCCGCGGTGTCTACTTCTTCACCTTGGCCGGCGCTCCTCCGGCTGCGGCGAGTGCCAGAGGTGCGACGCCGCGCGCATCCGTCGCCTAAACCAACACCGAAGTCGGGGGTGGGGCACGGTCCTCATGCGTTGCATTCACTACCACCGCGTGGATACACGGGCTACGAATACTTTGGAAGCAGCGGAATGCAGCAGAGTGCAGCAGAACGCAGCGGAATACGTGTCCGCCCGAGCCCTCGTTGGAGACTAGAGCGCGTCTTCCGCTTCTAGGGTCCGCCGCCGTCGGGTCTGCTCCGCCTGCGAGCAAGGCGTCGATCGTCGCGAGCTGAGCGTCGGCGAGCTCGGCTGTCAGGTTGCCTAGAAGGTTCCCAGAAGGTTCTTGGAAGGCTCCAGAGTTGCGCATGGCGAGCTCGGCTGTCAGGTTGCCTAGAAGGTTCCCAGAAGGTTCCTGGAAGGCTCCAGAGTTGCGCATGGCGAGCTCGGCTGTCAGGTTGCCGAGCGTCTGCGGCGGCGCGAAGTTGAGGCGCGACCGCGAGCGGGTTTGGAGCCAGGTTCCAAAGGGCTGCGGCGTGAAGAGGTAGACGAGGGCGTGGAGCCGCTCCGAGCCGTGGCAGGCGTAGTGCAGAGGCGTGCGGCCTGCCTGCGTTTAGGAAGGGCGAAGGCGTGGCGCACCTCTCCACACGCACAGAGCGGTGGGGCGGGGGCCAGGCTACTCTCCTCTCGTCTCCACATCCGCAGACAGGCAGGAGCCCCGCACGGCACACACTGGTTTGCCTTTCGGGCGGGTGTCGGCCTCTACGGATGGCGGCTTCTACCGGCGTGTCTACCGCCCGGCATGGAGTGTCCTGTCCTCCCCACACCTCCCCACACCTCCCCACACCTCCCCACCTGTCCCCACCTCTGCCCACCCCCCCCCACACCTCCCCACACCTCCCGACACCTCCCCACACCTCCCCACATCTCCCCACCTCTCCCCGCATCTCCCCACCTCTCCCCGCATCTCCCCACCTCTCCCCGCATCTCCCCACCTCTCCCCACCCCTCCCCACCTCTCCCCACCCCTCCCCACCTCTCCCCACCCCTCCCCACCTCTCCCCACCCCTCCCCACCCCTCCCCACCCCTCCCCACCCCTCCCCACCCCTCCCCACATCTCCCCGTGGAGTGTCCTGTCCAGTGTAATTCCTCACACTGCACGGCGGGCGGGGACACCTGGTCCAGCGCCTCGGCCACGAGATATGGGGAGATGTGGGGAGATGTGGGGAGGTAGTGGGGACACCTGGTCCAGCGCCTCTGCCACGCGCGGGTCGGCGAGCATCATCGCCGCGAGCGCCTGGGCGAAAAGAGGAGGGGAGGACGCCTCTCGGCTGTATTCTCTCGGCTGTATTCTCTCGGCTGTATTCTCTCGGCTGTATTCTCTCGGCTGTATCTCGGCTGGGTCTCGGCGGGATCTCGGCTGTATCTCGGCGGGATCTCGCCTCCTCCTCCAGCAAGAAAGCGGCCACATGCGCGGCTGTCACGCCCCCAGCGTCGGGCGGGTCGCCCCAGTGCAGCCGCGCGAGCCTGCCGTGCGCGCGAGATTACGCGAGGTTACCCGAGGTTGCCCGAGAGTACCCGAGATACGCGAGATTACGCGAGATTACGCGAGGTTACGCGAGATTGCGCGAGATTGCGCGAGCCTGCCGTGCGCGCGAGCAGCCAGCGCCGCCCGCTCCGCCAGCGCCGCCCGCTCCGCTCCTCTCCCTTCCCCTCTCCCCTCCTCGCCGCGCCGCGTGGCCGCTGCAAGAGCCGCCGCCAGCGCCGCCGCGTCTGGCCGCCGGCGCAAGGCGCGGTACCCGACTCCAAACGCGCAGAGCAGCTTGAGGACGAGCGTGTCGGAGCGCGCTGCAGACACGAGCAGCAGCGCGCTCGCCGCGCCGCCACCCTCTGGCGCTGGCTGCGGCGGCGGGCCGCGGGGAGGGGGGTGCGAGGCCGCCTCGCTGTCGCACGTGTCGGCCTCCCTGCGTGGCGGCGCAGCCCCGAGCAGCGCCGCCGCCTCGCCCTTGCCCGCCAGCAGCGCGTCGCCGCCCTCCTCCCGCAGCGCCTTGGGGGACGAGATTACGCGAGATTACCCGAGAGTACCCGAGATTACCCGAGATTCTCTCCTCCCGCAGCGCCTTGGGGGACGTGACACTGGACGTGTCACGGACGCGTCGCGGACGCGTCGCGGGCGTGCCTCACCGGCCGCCTCCCTCCTCCTCCCCCTTTCACCCCCCGCGCAGCTGCCCCGGCGCAGCTGCTGAGCGCTGTCAGAGCGGTGTTTCGACACCGATCTCGTTCAAAGGAACGCTGGTCCACATCTTGACTTACTGGGCACGCGTCACGGGTAAGTCCAGCCTGCGCGAGCGGCTCGCCCTCCTGGTCGAGAAGGTACTGGAGCGCCGCCGGCCAGCCTGGCACTTCGCCGCCGTCGGAGACGCCGAGCCTGCCACGCTCGCGGCTGCGAGATGTAGCCGAGATGTAGCCGAGATATAGCCGAGATGTAGCCGAGATACAGCCGAGATGTAGCTGAGATATAGCCGAGCCTGCCACACTCGCGGCTGCACGACGGCGTGCTCCGGCGCCAGCTGCCGACGGCGGCGTCACATAGCTGCCGCGTGGTCGCGACGCGCCGCTCGGTGTGGCCAAGGTAGCCGAGCGAGGCGAGGTGCTCGCAGAGCGCCGCCCGCGCCTCCATCGCGAGCTCCTCCGCCTCTGCCGCCGTCGCGCATCGCCTCGCCATCGCCGTGGCGAGCTGCAGCTCAAAGCGGGCAATCGAGCACACGGCGCAGGAGAGCAGCGGCTCGCCGAGCGCATCCTCGTCATCGTCGGCAGCCTCACTGGTCCTCTCCGCCGCTTGCCGTGCGCGAGAGAGCGGACTGGCCGAAGGCAGCACGCCGACCGCGCCGAAGGCCAGGAGAGCGACAGAGTCAGAGGTGCGGTGGTCAAGGAACTGCCTCTGCCTGAACAGCCTCCGCCACTTGCCGCGATCGATGGGCGTGCCTGCGGTGGAGCAGCGTGGCGGCGGCATCGCAACGAGCGCCGACTTCCTTTGGCCGACTTCCAAGCTGTCGTCGATTCCAACTTTTTGGATGGTATGGCAGGGCATCTGGCCGAGTCAACCCGAGAGAAGCGTGCTGGCGCGAGAGCCCACCCAGGCAGGCGGCCTCGGCAATTATCGAGACCGAACATCTACCGCACTGTATACACAGCCGTTCGCCCCCTCAGCGCGCGATCTCGGACGATCTCGCGCTATTTATTTTCCACTAGATTTCGGACCATTCGGAATTTCGGGCATTCGGAGCCGCGCCGCGCCCCCCCCCCCCCCCCCCACTGTCCCGGAGACCCGGAGAGTTTTCATATCGCAGTCTCTCCCTCTCCCTCTCCCTCTCCCTCTCCCTCTCCCTCTCCCTCTCCCTCTCCCTCTCCCTCTCCCTGGTTTGGCGCTCAGCTCGGGAATCGGACCGTGACCTCAACAACCGAGCACGTGCCCCCCTCACCAAGCTCGAGCACCTCCTTCCGCCCCGTCGGCTGCAAGTAGGTGAGCGGCGGGAATAGCACCTCGCGCTCGCCGGGGAAGGCGGAGAGGAAGGCGATGTCGGCGCCGCGGTCCATGAAGGAGGAGGTGCGCAGCTTGAGAAGCAGGCTCGATGCGCTCGCAGAGTACTTGAGCGCGACCACGATGTCGGTCGTCGTCGACATGCAAGCGAGCTCGGAGCCGCCTTGCCGCTCAAAGTCAGTGGTGACGCACATGTCCCGCATGCCGCGAAAAAGGTCGGCCGGCTCGTGCGCGCCGACACAGCCGGCGCCAACCGCGCGCAGCTTCTTGATGCCATCCGAGAGCTTGAGCATGGTCACGGGGAAGGGGTGCGCCGCCTCGCGGTTTCTGTCGCGCAGCGGGTTGTTGAGCGACTGGTACGCAGCGGTCGTGTATAGGCGGGTTGCAAGGATATGGCCCGCATCGAGGCCAGCGGCACGGGCGCTCGGATGGGATACAAAGTCGTCAAAGGTCTCGCCAACCCTCCCTTCGTCCATCTTGCCGTTGGGCCACTGGCGAGCGGTCGACCCCGCAGGCCGGTTCAAGACATAGTCGAGGCACCACTTGTCGTCGTCGGTGCCGTGCCGCATGAACTCCACACGGATTGCCTCGACGGGATCAACCATCTTGGCCGCCGTCTCCGCCTCACTGACGCCAAGTAGCTGGTGGAGACCGAGCGCCGCCTGCACAGGCTCCCCGGTAATCATTTGCTTGATTGTGCCGTCAAACTTGCCGTAGCCCCCCACCGCGTCCCGTCGCAAATCGCCCCCGAGGATCGCCAAAGCCTCCTTGAATGCGTCGTGCAGCGATGTTCGGCGTTCGGGCCACGAGCTGCCAGGACTGGGCAACGGCACCGCGGACATTCCGGGTTTCAGCTTTGCAACACCTATCTGAGCACGCCTGCGCCTTCGCTTGTAGTAGCAAACGCCTCCACCGAGCGCCGCAACGCCGATGATTCCAGGTACCAGCGGTGTCACAACTCTGACGGCTAAAGATCCTCCGCCCTCGGATTCCTCCGCGAACGGCGGCAGTGGTGGAGTGGGAGCGGCACCCGGAGGGTAGGGCAGGGACTGCGGCGGCGATGGTGGAGCCGGCGGCAAAGGAGGCGAAGGCGGGATGGGTGTTACAGACGTGGCAGCCGTTGGGGCCGATGTCCCACAGACGTAGGCTCTCGAGTTCGCAGTGCCAGACTTGTCGTTCCACTTGCCAGCACTTGAGTGCCCGAAGCCATACACTTCGACTGCATCCTCGTTAGTGCCCCACGCGCCGTTCGGCTCACGGGAGGCCCAGTTGCGGTAGGAGCAAGTTGACCCACCAGCCCATACCCACGTTCCTTCGGTCCCTTTGTCGTTCAGGCCGATCCAGACAGCTGCGGAGCCACTGAGTGCGGCCACTGCATCGGAGTCTGCTTGTGAGCAGATGGTGGCCAAGTGCGTACCGCGTGTGACGCAGTCGGCCTCGGCGTCTTGCCATGACTTCGGGTCCGGGTGATACGTGAATGGCACGGCAGCAGGCGTTGGTGCTCGTGCTATTGGCGTGGCAGATGTATACCCCAGCCGTGGCGATGCCAGCGACGGTTCCGATGCGGTTCCCTCCGAGAGAGCAGGGAGGAGCGCGAATAGTAGTAGCGGAGGTGCCGGCCGAGCGCGCGCGGTGCAAGGTAGCGAGACGTGCTCCATGATCGTGGGCGATGCTGTCTCGAACAGCGACTGTCGGCAAATCCGCTGGCCAGCCGCCCTCGACCCAACCATTCGGATCGAGGAAAAGTTCGTTCGGAAGAATTTTACGTTCGGAAGAAACAAGAATGGTCTCATTGATGGTCGGGCTTTTAAATACCACGGCGAGGCGGTGCGTTTGAACGGCCTTTTCAAAGGTGTGAAAAACGTGCACGTATAGAGGCGTTGACAAAGTTGTTTGGTATTGCTAAAAAATCTCTCTCTCTTGACAAAGCGGGCTAGGGGCCTAGACACACCTCTCCTTAAAATCCCTGTGTGGTGGCGGCGTGCCGTCCTCCCATCCCTCCCTTGGGTTGTCTGTTTTCTTTCTTTCTTTAGGGGCCTAGAGCCTCGCGCTCCTTTCATTCATGCTCATCTGCCCACTCGCCACGCGATGCCTCGCTGACACGCTAGCTGGCTAGGCCCCTACGTAGGCTAGGGCCGGGACATTTTTCTCTTCTAAAAATGCTCCGCGCTCAAGCCTCTCGCCACTCTCCAATCCGCCCGCGCAGCGCGTGGTTTGGGGTGAGGAAGCTATGCTCGAGCGCCTCGCCCGTCATCGGGCTCGTCGACTTGGTGGCGAGCCAGCGCTCGATCTGCTTCCGCTCGTAGGAATGGCCGTCCGCCGCCATCACTGGGTCGTGGCACACCAACGCAAGAGCTTATGCTCTGGCGAGATGTGAGGCGCATGCGCCCAGGAGGGGAGGGCGCATGCGTAACGACGCTGCTAGAGATGCCTTTCGGGGCCCAGAGATAAAACTTCTGATGCCATGCGTGACCCAGTGTGCAATCTTTACCGGTATGGGAGTTTTTGGCTAATCAAACCCAAGGCCTGCACTAATCAAAAAGTGGTACGGGATACCAGTTGCCTCACGGAAATCAAAGCGAGTCGGAGTGCCTTCTTGGTGGCAAAACCGGCAAAATCGGCAAAATACCGGGTATTTTGCGGGTATACCTGGAAAAACCCGGGTATACCCGGGTAATACCCGCACTTTTGCATGGTTTCGCCCCCGGGACCACACCGACAGCCGCTACAACTACTGAAAACCCCGCATACCACTTTCGCATACCACTATACCATACCACTCCAAAACTAATCAAAATATCGCCAAATACCAGTCTCATACCGGTAAAGATTGCACACTGGCGTGACCTAGTAGTGTCCCCAGGGAGAGGGGGGACGACACTGCTCTGGCGGCGTGCACCTCGATCCTGCACCGTGTTTGTTATGACCCCCCCCCAATGAACACACCAGTGAGGGAGGGCGAGACGATCGGAGGGGTCCCGTACCATGCGGAATCGACCCTATCAAGTGCTCAAGTGCTCAAGTGTCCCCAGCTATGGGCGTGTCCACGTTGGAGCCAGGTGTGGTGTGGGCGCGAGAATAGCTCCGCCGTACATGGAGGCAACCGATGCGAGTCGACTGGTGTGTGTCGTCGTGGTTTTATCAAGCAAGAATACTCACTCACTCACTCACACCGAGAGGCGTGCTGGCGCGATGCCCCGAGTTCATTTTATAAGAGACATTCGTCGGGGGCACAGGACGCGGCACAAACGGGGCCAAACGCAAAGCTACGAGACTGCGTCAGTGTTATTGCTCGCCCGCACACGTCCGTGTCCCGAATCCACCCCTTCGTTGTTCGCGCGGCGATGGCCCGCAAGCGCGCCCGCACCGGCGGCGGCGAGGACGGGGACGTGCCCGTGCCGGTCGCGGATGGCTTCGAGGCGCCCATCTTTGGCGCGCGCGTCGTCGGACAGGTCACCACGCTCACGCTTGAGGGCGTGGACGGCCTATCGCTCGGTGAGGTTGGCGTCGCGAGCGATCACGCGGGCGCCTGGTACGTCGCGACGAAGGACTCTCTGCTGCACGTCTCGGCGGCCGGGCGCGTGCGCCGCGTGGCAGCCTTGCCGGCAAGTGACGAATTCTACACCGTTGCTGCCAGCCCCAACGGGAGCGCGGTGTTTGTGGCGGACTTCAGCAACCACGAGATCCGGCGGGTGGAGGTTGCGACTGGTGCTGTGACGACGCTCGCGGGCAGCGGCGAGGAAGGCGCCGCTGATGGCGTGGGCGACGCGGCGGAGTTTGACAGCCCCTACGGAGTCGCCCTCAGCTCCGACGCGAGTGCACTGTTTGTGGCGGACTCCAGCAACCACAAGATCCGGCGGGTGGAGGTGGCGACTGGCGCTGTGACCACGCTCGCGGGCAGCGGCGAAAGTGGCGACGCGGATGGCGTGGGCGACGCGGCGCAGTTCTGCAGCCCACTTGGCCTCGCCATCAGCCCCGATGGTAGTGCGCTGTTTGTGGCGGACTACAGCAACAACAAGATCCGGCGGGTGGAGGTGGCGACTGGCGCTGTGACCACGCTTGCGGGCAGCGGCGAGGATGGCGGCGCCGATGGCGTGGGCGACGCGGCGCAGTTCTGCTACCCACATGGCATCTCCATCAGCCCGGACGGCGGCGCGCTGTTTGTGGCGGACGTCGACAACCACAAGATCCGGCGGGTGGAGGTGGCGACGGGAGAGGTGACCACGCTCGCGGGCAGCGGCACCAGGGGCAGCACTGATGGCGTGGGCGACGCGTCGGAGCTCAACGGACCAGTCGAAGTCGCCCTCAGCCCGGACGGCAGCACGCTATTGGTCGGTTCCAACGGTGGCCTCCGCCAGGTCTGCGTGGCGGCGCCTCCTCCGCCTCCCTCCTTTGCCCCGATCGTCGTTCCGCCTTCGACCCTTGGAGCTGACTTCGCAAAGACGCGGGGCGACGCCTCCCTCCCGCAGGGCATGGTCACCTTCCTGGTCGGCGACGACCGGGAGCGCATCGAGCACGTGAGCAAGAACGTGCTATGCGCCCGGTCCCCGGTCTTTCGGACCATGTTTGGCATCGGCATGAAGGAGCGCGACGCCGCCGAGGTCACGGTGTCCCACACCGACCTCGCCAGCTTCACCGCCCTCGTGGACTACCTCCTCTCCGACAAGTTCGACCTCGGCGAGGAGGAGGGCAGGGCGCAGCGCGCGCTCGACCTGCGGGAGCTGGCGCAGATGTACCAGGTGCCGCGCCTCGAGCTGCTCTGCGCGCAGGCGCTGCAGGAGAGCGTCGCGCCGGCGACCGCCGTGCCGCTGCTCGAGGCGGCGCACACGCTGGGCGACGGGCGGCTCCTCGCGCAGTGCCGCCGCTTCGTGGCCGACCACGCCGCCGAGGTGCGGGCGAGCGGCGGCGTGGAGCAGCTGCGCGACTTTGGCGTGGCCAAGGGGCTGCTCGGCGACGCGCTCGACCAGGTGGTGGAGCTCAAGGGCGCGATGCACGCGCTCCGCGTCGCGGAGAGCTGAGAAACCGTAGCGATCAGGGTATGACACAGGGGTCGGCACACATCCGTCACATGCCACGCAACCCACATATGCAGGGATGATGTCACAGCCGCACGGCCGCCCCGCACGGTGCTGAGATGTGAATAAAGTCTCTTGAATAAAGTCTCTTGTGAATAAAGCCTCGCACCTCTAAAACAACACACGGTAGAGTGTTGCGTCACGCACACGACCACCCCGACTGGGCGCGCCGGGGCGGCCGCACCGGCCGCGCCGGCCTCGCCGGCCGCACGAGCGGGACCGGCTCCGGAGCGCCTCCTCGAGCCCCAGCGGCACGACCGCAGCAACGCCCGGCGTCGGCGAGCTCTTGCACCTCCGGAGGGCGAGGCCGAGCAGCGGCCCGCGCGCCGCCTCCGCCTCCGCCTGCTCGTCTAGCTCCCTCTCGAAGGTGCTGCTCCGGCTGAGTGCGTCGAGCGAGGCCGCGACACCCGCCTCCGCAGCAGCCTCCTCGCCCATCACCTCCGCCGCCGCCGCCTGCTCGCACGCGGCGGCGGCGGCGAGGCCGCTGGCGGAGAGCTCGCACGCCACCCGGTCCACCCAGTCCTTGTGCGAGGCGTACAGCGCGGCGTAGCGCGGCTCGGCGTCGTCGACGTCGAGCCAGGTCACGTTGTGCGCGTCGTCGCCCGCGCGGAGCGGCAGCTGGACGGCGAGGTCGGCCGTGCAGTGGAAGTGGAACGCCGTCGTCTCCATCCACGCGTTGTCCGTGTTGCGCGGGTCGTCGACGTAGCCGCGGTACACCACCTCGCCGTGGCAAACAGCTCGTCGACGGCCGCGTTGAAGGCGGCGCGCTCGGCGTCGGAGGCCATGTTGCCCGCCTCCTCGGCGAACTCGCGCCGCACCGTCACCGACACAACCTCGCCCGCGTCCACCATCCCGCCCGGCAGCGCCCAGACGCCCGTGTCGCCGCGCTGGATGGCGACAATCTGCAGCTTCCGCTTGTCGCCGGGCTTCCAGCGCGTCACGATCGGGTCGGCGGCCCGGTTGGGCCCCCACTTGCCGAGCATGCCCCGCCCGCACACGCCGGTGCGGCCGCGCGGGTTGACTGGCCGCTGGTCCGCGTCGAAGAAGAGGGGGCCCTCGCACGAGAGGCGGTGCTTGAGCTCCGCGAGGTTCGGCCGCGGGCTGTCGGCCCAGCCGTTCGGGTTGGCGTCGCTCCGCTCGGCCGCGAGCACCGAGGGGGCCACGAAGGGCACCGGCGAGTACTCTGGCCAGGGCACCTTCCAGCTCACCTTTGCGTCCTCGACCGGGAAGCGCGGCGGGTACTTCGGGTTCTGCTGGGACCGCGCGTGCACGTGCGCCGTGGCGTGCGGCGGCGGCGGCGGCGGCGGCGGCGTGCGGCGGCGGCGGCGGCGGCGCAAGCTTCTGTTAAGGCGCCGCCTTGGCTTGGTCCGGGCACTCCATCCGCGTCAACTCATCGCAGCGGACGAGCAGTGCGCTCGCCACGTCAATCTCGAGGAGTGCAATCGCCCGCTCGCCACGTCAATCTCGAGGACTGCAATCCCGCGCTGGCAAACAGAGCCAGACCGGAGGCGGAGTGTGAAGTGTGGACCGACGTCACAGTGATGCGGCCGTCGTGTGGCGCACAGCCGCGAGAATGCGATGCGAGGCGGAGCCACGACCCGTGATCGCTGGGCCAGGAGCGTCGCCTCGAAGTCAGATCGGTTGAGGCTGCGCCCATCAGAGTCAAGAACGAAATCGAACGCGAAGAAGTCTCGGACGCCACGCACAGCTTTGGAGAGCGAGTCGCCCTCGAAGACGAGAGAGAAGACGCGGCGGACGAAGTTGACGGGGTGTTCATTGGCCTGCATTCTTGCGAGCCGCAGCGGCGTCAGGCATCTCTTCGGTGGATTTCTTTCCGATTTCGAAGGGAATAGCCTTTCTGTTTTGCTTTTCACGCCCCCCCCCCCTGCCAGAACTTGGTTACGAAATTCTTTCACCAAAGTTTTTTCAATGAACTCGGGGGCACAGGACTTTCAACAGAATTGGCCTTTAAGGTGGCAGTCCGGGTTCTGTGAAGAGGGTCGCTCGTCGAATGCGAGCCAGTTCGCTCGCGACGCCGACGCCGACGCCGCCGCCGGAACGACCGCGGCGGCCGGTCGAGCGGCCGCCCCGGCCAGCGGCCGTATCGAGCCTGCCCGTCGCGAAGGTGCGGACCTCACGCGCCCCACCGGCCGCCCGCGCCGCCGCGCCCACGTCGCTCTCTCGAAGCCCAGCGCCACGCCGCTACGACTCCCATCGCGACGACTCCCGTGCTCGCTCGTGGCGCAGGCGATCGACTCCTGACACCCATCGAGCGGATGGGCGCGTTCCCGCCGCGACCCGGTACTCTCGAACGACTTTTGAGGGCAAAAGGTGCCGCCCGAGCCCATTCCCGCCGCCCGCCGCCCGAGATCAGCTGCCACCGGCCAGCGCGCGCGCGGAGACCTGCCGCGAGCGCCTCCGTGGCCCTAGCTGGGGTGATTAGCAAGCGCCTCGGCACTTTAGATTCGCCCCTCGGGCTTTTCCGCGCGCGTGATCAGTCTCGCGTTCTCTCCTTTTTCAGGCGCCTGTTTACGGCCTCTGAAGAGCAACCGTCGAGGCGTCGATGCTCGCCTCCACGCCCGCGCCAGACCTCCGCGATTGGGGCGCCTTGTCGACGGGATCAATTGTGATTCCGGGCGTATTTTTCGGCGATTTCATTCGCACGTCGGCGACTCTTAGTCGCTTCTCCGTGCTAGGAGGCCTCTGTATTGTGTTTGTGAGGACTAGATCGAAACTAACATTTCGGCATATGCGAATGAAATCGCCAAAAAATGCGCGTTCACTCACAATTCATGTGTATATGAACGGTGCCGACGGGTTTGGCGAGCAGCGAAGCCGTCCAGGCGCAGCAACGCGACGGTTTCGGAGGCCGACGGCTCCGAAAGAGCCTCCCGTTCGAGGCCGGCGCGGTCACGGTACCTTGGAGGCCACAGACGTCGCCGGAGCGGCACTCCCGGGGCGCCACTCCCTCACCCGGTCAGGGGGGGCCAACCACAGCCCGCCTCACCGTCCGTGGAGCTTCCGTGGTCCGCCGCTTCGGCTTCGATTTTCGACCCTCCCGAGGCTGCTAGAGCAGCCCCGCGGAGCCTCCCGGATGCACCGGCACACCGTCGTCCAGAACGCCGGCGCACGCGCTGCCCAGTGACTGGGCGGGTCGGCCCCGACTAGGGGCGGGCCCAGCCGGGCGGAGAAGACCATCACCACTCGCGGTTCGTCGCACCGTCCGCTCCGGTTTTCGTCTCGAGCGGGTCGTGAGACGGCCGCGAGAGCGAGCACCGCGGTCACAGTGCCGTGGAGGCCACAGACGTCGCCGGAGCGGCACTCCCGGGGCGCCACTCCCTCACCTGGTCAGGGGGGGCCAACCACAGCCCGCCTCACCGTCCGTGGAGCTTCCGTGGTCCGCCGCTCCGGCTTCGATTTTCGACCCTCCCGAGGCTGCTAGAGCAGCCCCGCGGAGCCTCCCGGATGCACCGGCACACCGTCGTCCAGGATGACGGCGCACGCGCTGCCCAGTGACTGGGCGGGTCGGCCCCGACTAGGGGCGGGCCCAGCCGCGCGGAGAAGGCCAGCGAGCTCGAAACACGTCGCCGCGGGCGGCCGTTTCGCAAGCCTGAGCGGGTCGCCAGACACCCGCGAGAGCCAGCAGCTAGAGCGCCGTCGTAGCCGCAGATCGAGTCGAGGAGCTTGATGTCCACGGTAGCAGTTGTGGAGAGTGGTGGCACGGTGCGTGTAGACGCGTCGATTGAGGGCTCCCTTTCGAAACGCGACGGGTACGGCATGACAACTGCCAGTACAGTTTTACGCCGGCCAGCGTGAGAGCACAACAGGGAGCCGGCGACCCGTACGCTTTGCGCGTGGCGACTGGTGGCTGTCTGGAGCTCGTGTGAGCTGGTCCGACGCTTGGCCGAGCCGAGAGGACCAGCGAGCGACCACGTTGGCGATGAAGCTTGGCGGCCGGCGCCTCGTCGCCAGACGTCACAGCGGCGTGGACGTAGGAGTGTGCGGCGACGGTTACCGGCAAATCCGGCCCAGTGTGGCCGGCAGCTGCCTAGCGCTGGCCTGTGGCCGGCGCCGTGGTGGCGGAGAAGGCGTCTCGCCGCCGTGGCGGCGGTCGGCAGGTGCGAGCGTGATGCCATCTTGCCGGACGACACCCGTCTCGCAAAACCCGGACTGCCGGCTTAAGAATTCTTTCAAGCACATTTATGTTGCTGGCTCTGATCACCAGCGCGGCGAGCCTCGCCGAGCCTCCCTCCGCCCCCGCGCTTTCGGAGGGGCCCTCGCTGCGCGCACGGGTGAGCGCTCGCCCGCGCCTCAAGGTCTTGAAGCGGCTACAGGCGAAGGGCAACCGGCTCTTGCTCGGCGGGAGCTGCGGTGCGAGAGAGAGAGAGAAGCGAAGAGAGAGAGAGAGCGTGCGTGTGCATGAGCACGCGTGCAGACGCGGCCGACGGCGCTCCGCCCGCACACCGCGCAGACTCGGCCGGCCGCTGCAGCTTCGAGGCCAAGTGCGCCGAGCCTCTCCTTGGCGGCACCATCGCGCTGAGCGGACGCTCGCTGCGGTGGAGCCGGCTGTGGCTGCTGCCTGGCCTGGCCGACGCGGCGACGCGCGTGGAGGTGTGCTCGGCCGTCGACCTCCGCACGGGCAAGCCCGACGCGGAGCTACGGTGAGCCACACACCGCACGCGCGTGCGTACACACACACACACACACAGCGAGAGAGCGACGAGAGCGACAACGACCAGAGGAGAGGGAGAGAAGAGCGAGAGAGCACAGCTTCCGCCCGGTTCGCCCGCCGCCCTGTGCCGACCGCCGCTCGCATCCCCTCCCTCCCGCCTGCGCAGGCTGGGCCTCCGTCGCGCCTTCAGCAGGCGCGGCTCTAGGACTGTGCTAGCACTGCGGCACTCGCACCTCGCGCACGCCACAGCCACGCACATGCACATGTCATGCACATGCACATGTGCATGTGCATGCAACATGTTCCCTCGCGCACGCCACAGCCACGCACATGCACATGCACATGTCGCAGGCGCGGCCTCAGCCTGGTGCACGCGGTCCCGCTCTCCCTCCCGCTGGGCGGCGAGCAGGCGAGACTGCGCGAGACTGCGTGAGATTGCGCGAGACGGCACGAGGTTGCCAGAGGTTGCCAGAGAGGAGATCGCCCGAGAGCACCCGAGAGCATAGCACCGAGAGAGCCCCGCGGCGAGCGGGCGGGCGGCGGAGGGACGGGCGCCGGCGCGCCGCGAACACCGTCTCGGAGCCTCGCCTGTAGGAGGGAGGAGGGAGGAGCCCGCCGCTCAGACTCGAGGCGCGCGCCCCTCCTGTGTATTGAGAAACGACTTCTGATTAACTAGTTCATCACAGGCTCGAGGCGCGCGGGACGCGGGCGGCGCGTGCAAGTGCCGGCGCCAAAGCCGCGCCCGTCTCACACCCGAACTTCGCTGCGGGCAGGTCGGCGCGACGCTAGACGTGCCGGCTGAGGTCACGCTCAGCGCGCGCGACCCGCGCGCCGCGCTGCGGTCCGCGCGCTTCTCCGTGGACATCGATCGCGCCGACTTGTGCGTCGAGTACTAGGGTGCCGCCCAACCGTTGTAGCATGCGTGGCGAGGCGGGGTGCTGCCCCTCTAGGGTCGGGCCGCCCAGCCTCTCGCCCGTCGCCCCCTTCTGGGCCCTCCTGGGAAGTCCTGTGCGCGTATGGTTATCTTCTGTTGGCAGCGCCAGTGGCCGCTTAAACTGCCCCGGGCCGCCGGCCTGCCCAGGGTGCAGGGAGGCAGGGAGGCGGATAAAGCCCCCGCGCCACACACGACTCACGGAGCCGTAGTGAGCGGAGACGAGGAGAGCACCCCGTCCGGCCCGGGAGCGCGCAGGCGCGCGCGAGGTGTCTGGAAAACGCACTTCGTTTTCGTGCACACGTCACCAAGCAAAAATCACTCAGGGCATTCCCGCCAGCGTCTCCGGTACCCCGCCTCACGGCAAGTTCAAGTAGAAATCGAGGTCGGTCTCAAGTTTCTCCGGCCCCGTCTCAAGCTTCTCCGCCACAGCCTCCTTCGGCTTGCTCTGCGGTAAGTACGACCTGAACATGATTGGCTTGCCCGTGCGCCGCGCAACCGGCTCCTGCGAGCGCCGGATGGCCCGCTGGATGCGCTCCTCCGCAGCCTTGGCCGCCTCCGCCTGCTTCACCTTGCGCACCCTCTCCCGTCGCTCCTTCTCCTTTTGGCGCTGCGCCGCCTCCACCTCATCTTGCGGCATCGTGTCGATGGCCGCGAGCAGCTCCTCCAGGCGCGACTCGATGTTGGTCAGCATCTGCAGCGTCCCGAGCGAGTTGTCGCTCTCGGAGAAGATGGCCTTGTACACCTCCGCCACCTTTTGGTTGAGCTCGTGCAAGGTTTGCTCCTGCGTGCCCCCGCCGGCGCCGCTCCTCTCGGCGAGGCCGCGTCGCTTCTCCTCCTCCGCCGCCACTTGGCCCGCCAAGCTGTCGATCTGGCCCTGTAGGCCAGCCGCGTCGTCCACCATCTTGGCCTGCGCGACTTGCAGCTTCACCTTGAGCTCCTCGAGCGCCTGTGGCAGGGCGCGGTGGCATCAAGGGTCGGTGAGTGTGGTTCGGGCCGGGACGCCTTTCCCGCCCGTACCTGGTCGTGGCCGGGCGCTACTAGCAATGCCACGCAAGCGAGGGGGCGTGCACAAACCTCCTCCGTCTCCTGCGAGTTTTGGATCAGGAAGAGGTTGGACTCTTCGAGCGCAGTGAAGCGGTCGAGCAGCTGCTGGGGCTCCTGAAAGTACATTAGCTCCTCCTCCTCCTCCTACGAGGCGGGGAGGCCGACGCGGACCGGTGGGCGCCCTGGCCCAAGCCAGCGGGACCGCCCCGATGGCTCGAACCCGGTTCCCCCCTCCCAGCGCGCCTCCGGCCCCTCCGCGGCCCGCGCCGCTGCCTCGCCCTCCTTCATGTACCGCTGCGTTAGCTGCTCCGCTCGCCCCGCGACGGCCTCGTCACGCTCGGCCGCCTCGGCGGCCCGCTCCTCGTCGCTCTTTTTCCGCGCGCGCCGCTTGCCCGCCGCCTTTCGGTCCGCCTCGACCTTGGCTGCCTGGCGTGCGTGGGGATGGGTCTCGCGACGGAAGCCAAGAGGAGAGGCGGGCTGGGGTGGAGCTTTCGAGGTGGAGGGGAGTCGGGCGAGCGTACCCGCTCCCTGTCGATCTGCTCGGCGGCGTCCACCGCGGCCCGCTCATAGCACATCGCTCTCCGTGCCTCCTCCTTGGCCGCCCACGCGTCCTCTCTGCGCTGACGCTGCGCCTCTTGCTGCTCCTCAAACCACTCCGTCGGCGTCAGCTTGTCCAGGGGGTGGGCGACGCGGTCTCGGGCGGCAGACGGCGCCACGAGGGCGCTCCGGAAGGCTGGAGCGCCGGGGGCCCCAGCCCTCCGGAAACTGGGGCCGCGCCGCTCCGGAAAACGCGGATTTGGGGGGAAAGGAGTTCTGGGAGTTCGAAACGAGAGTGGACCTGTCGGAGTGAGTGTCGGAAGAGTCCTTGCGCGAGGAGATATTGATGACAAACTCGAGGGGCCAAAATACACCGCGAGGAGGGCGGAGTTGCGCCGAGAGGCGGGCGGCCCCTGGGTGGGGGCCACCTCGAACCCCAAGCCAGGGTTTCGAGCGGTGGGTGCCCCGGATTCATCCATCCGTTGGGCCCTGGTACTCGAGTACCTTCATTAGAACTGACATTTGCGCAGCAGCCGCCCCTTCGCCGATTGGACGGCAGTGCGCTGCGCTGTCGCTCTGTCGAGCACGCTCTCGTGCTTCGTTGTGACCCACCCTGTCCCACCCGTGTGATGTGTGATGTGTGAGTGAGTATTCTTGATACGAAACCACGACGACACACACCAGTCGACTCGCATCGGTTGCCTCCATGAACGGCGGAGCTATTCTCGCGCCCACACCACACCTGGCTCCAACGTGGACACGCCCATAGCTGGGGACACTACTAGGATGTGTGATCAGTGTCTACAGACGGAGGGGGAGTTCTGGCTCACGCCAGGCCGCAGCTTCAGCGGAGGACGCACGCGCGTTCGTCGTTCGTCGGCTGATCGCGCCCATGCACACGCGGGTCCATGTCGCAAGACAGGCAGTCGCCACCGCTGCTGCCGCCACTGCCGCCGCGGCCGCCGCCGCCACTGCCGCTGCCTCCGCCTCCGTCGGCGTCCGGGCATCCGGCCACTCGAATGCCCGTCCAGAGCCTCGCACTGCAGCGAGCGGGCCTGGCTGGGACGAGATCTTCATCTCCCCGGCTCGCGCCAGCCAGACGAGCTCCGCGGAGGATGCACTAATCGCAGGCCACTCGGTGGTGCTGCTGCAGCTGGCGAGCCGGAAGGAGTGCTCGTCTCTCCGCCGCGAGGCATCCAGCTTTGCCGCAGATGAGCGGAAGCAGATGAGCGAGAGCAAGCATGCGCTCGACGCTAACCACCCGCACGCGCACCCCGAGGTGATCCGCAGGCCGGCAACGGTGGTTCTCGGGCCCGAGGGCCGGCGGCTGTGCGACCAGCTGCTGCTGCGAGGCCTGAGAAAGTGCGAGGAGCTCCTCCCCGCCGTGGTGCCGGCGCTGCTCGGCGACAGCGCCGCGGGCAGCGAGAGCTGCTTTGATAATCCGAGGCTCACCTTCACCGGCGAATCCCTGGTGGGCAGACGTGTGTGACATACTGCGCATCCTACCATCAAGCCTGACCTCCTTTGTCGACCCTCCCGCCAGGTTGGAGCGCCGACCGGCGAGCCGGCGATCAACGTATACACGGCGGGCGGCTTCTTCACTCCGCACCGCGACCTGCAGAGTCTGACCATCCTGCTGCCCCTCTCTGACGGTGGCGACGCCTTTGCCGGCGGAGGCACCGCATTTTGGGCCGCCGCCACTGCGGACGGCCCACCGGCCTTTGTGTTGACGCCGCCGGCAGGTACGGCGCTCCTCTTCGGAGGCATGGTGATGCACGCGGGGATGCCCGTGGATGCGGGGGAGAGGGTGGTCTTTGTCGCGAGCTTCAGCCCGGCGCCGCCGCTTGTGGCGGCGTGGAAGGCGCTGCGGCGGGCGCTTCCCGCCGGCACCTTTGACTTTTTGAGAGACTGGCCGGAGGACTGGCGCGAGCGTCGCTCGGGCGAGTCGGGGTGAAGGTTTCGCGGGAGAGCTTGGTGAATGGGAGACGGGGCGTTTTCTCACCAAAACGCGCGAGACCACCGACCTCCGACAGAACACAGAAGGAGAATTTCACCACAAAACTTCCTCACAACACTCTCGACTGCTCTGGGGGCACGAGAAACTCCGCGCGGAGGCATCGCGGCAAGGCGGTTCGTACCGGCGAAGTCGCGAACACGGGACGACCAAATGTGACGCGAGCGCGCCCGCGACAAGACGAGACGAGACGAAACGAGAAGAGAAGAAGAGAGAAGTTAAGGTTTTGCCGCGGCCGCGCCGCGAGCTCGCATCTGTTTTGGCGCCGACGAGGCGATCAACCGCGCGCCAGCAGCGAGCGGCGCAGCGCGGCCACTATGCGGTAAAAAGAAAGAATACAGAAAGAAAGAAAGAAAACAGACACGCCAAACGAGGGATGGGACGAGGACAGGGTCCCCACCTGCACGAGCAGGATTTTGGAAGAACGATCAGGGGGACAGGTGGGGCTCTCCTGCTCCTGACAAGGGACACGACAGGCTCGCAGCGCGGTGCGCGGTGGACTCCCACATCCACTGGCGGTCTCATCTCAGTCTAGCGACCTGCCTCCAGCTTGTCGCTGGCAGTCTCTCCTACCACAGGCACACTGACACAGGGGTGGCAGGGGCGGCGGCACGAGTCTCCCACAAAGAAAGAATACAGAAACCGTGGGAGGCGTGTCGGTTTTTCTTTTTCGTATAACCTCCCTCATCCCTCCGACAAGCAGGCGCCAGGCGCCCGCGACAAGCCTTCTCGTGGGCAAAACATGCCGGGGGCATGGACTCAGTGGTTGAGGCAGCGTCGTCAACCAACTGGCTCACCCGCTCGCGAATCGCAACTCCCGTGGAGAAGCACCGCGCCAAGCATGCTGCGGAGCCCACGGCGGCCACTGCTGCAGAGCAATCACGCGGCCGCGGCGTTGGAGGGCCTCTCCGTCCTCTTCGCCCTCCTTCTCTTCGCAGGCATTCTGCTGTACCACATCCCGCTCGCGCTCCGCCGGCGGCGCATGCGGCACCGCGACATCGCAAAGAGACGCGCTCACCTGGAGTCGCTGTGGTGCGGAGAGTGCTCTGCTCGGCGGTTGCGCCGTGCGGTCCGCGCCGACTTTGAGGCGGAGGTGCGCGGTCTGAGTGCCGGCCGTCCGGGTGCTCTCGCCCGGCGGCGGTGCTCTCTGAGCCTCGGGCCAGATGTCTGGCAGCTGATCCTCGAGCAGACGTCCGTCCTCTCCCCTGCCCTCCGGTCGGTCGCCGGCTGCTCAAAGGCGATGGCGGGCCTGGCACAGGACAGGCTGCGCCTCTTCCTGCGCGAGTCTGGCGCGGGCGGTGCGCACTTCGATGAGACGCTGCCGATCGCGCGACCGCTGCCCGCCGCGCTCGCGCCGTTTGTGCGGCTTCACGCGCACGCGGTGCGCTGGACCATGCGCGCGCGCTTCCTGGCCATCGAGACGCTGATCACGCGGCTCGTCCATTGGGGCCGCGGGCTCGACGCGCTGCGGGAGATGCTCGACGAGCCCGACGCGGCCCACCGCCCTAGAAGCAGAATGCGGACTCTTGTACTCCAACCAGCGAGGACACGCACCCAACTGTATTCGGCCGTATTTCGCTGTATTCACTGTCTTTGTACCTCTCGTACTCACACGGTGCTCAGAGCTCTGCACGATACCGTCTTCCCGCGGTTCTCATATTGGCGTCTTCAGCACGCAGGCCCACCGCGCAGCCTTCGAGCAGTGGCTCTGCAACGCGGGCGTGTGCGAGGCCGCGAGGGAGGGCGGCCGCCTCCTCCTTGACGAGTACCTTCCCGACGCGAGCCGCACTGCCGACGCGCACCAGCTCTGGCGGCGAGTCCTCCCTCGGCGTGGACCTGTGAATCGATGACTCATCGGCTACTAGGTGGACGAGCTCTGGCGGCGTGTCCTCCTCGACAGCCCGCCGCCGCCGCCGCAGCAGCAGCAGCAGCAGCAGCAGCAGCAGCAGCAGCAGCAGCAGCAGCTCGCGCGTGCCGGCGGTGGCGCTCGACTCGCCGCGGGTCACAGACGCCGTCCCGGACCCTTCCTGGACCCTTCCTGGACTCTTCTCGGACGCAGATTTGACTCCCTCCCTCTAGGCGCGCCGCTTCGCCGGCGAGTGGCACCGTCCGCTCTCCCAGCCAGCCGCGTCGCTCCCTCTGCCGCAGGGAGAGGCTTCGCTTTGCCAGAGAGGGCGGCGTGGCGTGCGGCGGGGCGCGCGCATCTCGTCTCACCAGCGTATTTGCGGTGATGGTCACTGTGACCACCCTCTCGCTGCCCGACACCAGGCACGCGCATCTCCTCGCGATGTGGGCCAAGGCGGCGGAGGAGGGGAGGCTGGTCTGCGGCGCCGTCGCTCTCCTCGCCGCTTTGCGCCGCGCGCACGCCGCGCCGCCCTTCCAGGGTGAGAGCGAGCCGGGCTCGGAAGGCCGGCCGTGGCTGCGCGTGTACCAGGTGGAAGGAGCCGAGGGGAACCGGGGGGGGGGGGCGGGGGGGAACCAGGGGGAACCCGGGGGGGGGGGGGGCCCGGGAAACCCCCGGGGGACCCCAAAGGCCCAAAGGGGCCCAAAGGGGCCCGGGGGACCCCAAGGGACCCCAGGGGACCCCAAGGGGACCCAGGGGAGCCGAGGGGAGCCGAGGGGAGCCGAGGGGAGCCGAGGGGAGCCGAGGGGAGCCGAGGGGAGCCGAGGGGAGCCGAGGGGAGCCGAGGGGAGCCGAGGGGAGCCGAGGGGAGCCGAGGGGAGCCGAGGGGAGCCGAGGGGAGCCGAGGGGAGCCGAGGGGAGCCGAGGGGAGCCGAGGGGAGCCGAGGGGGAGATGGCACGAGCTGACGTGTCCGTGGTTGCGCGCGTGCCAGGCGTCCGACGCCGACCCTCTCACGCTGTCGTGCGTGCAGTACGCGGCCGTGCTGGTTGCGAGGAGCTTCGACCAGGGCCTGCACAGCCTCCGCATCACCTCCGAAGAGCTGCGAGGCGTGGCTAAAACCCGAACCCGAACCCTAACCCTGACCCGAGCCCGAGCCCTAACCCTAACCTCCGAAGAGCTGCGAGGTGTGGCGGCATCAAGTGTGGGAGATGCGGGGAGATGCGGGGAGATTTCTGATTCGCTCAGCACCCCTGCACAATGCAAACAGGGTGCCCACTGCTACCGGCAGGTATGGCGGCAGAGCACGACGAGCTGCGTTCCGTGGCGCCTGCGATGGGCGGAGTCGTCGCCGTGTTCCACACCGCCGCGCTCTGCCGCGCGCCCCCCGCCACGGAGGCCCCCCAGATGAGCGTCGGCCGGCTGGTCGTGCTGCTGACTCCGTCGGCGATCGTCGGCGCAAAGGCGATGGTCGTTGCTTGCGTCGCCAGCGAGGCGCTCGGCGGCGGCCGCGTCGTTGTCGTCGGCTTGCGCACGGGGGGCGGCGGCGCGGCACTCCCCGCCCGCGGCTCCGATGGCGGCGGCGGCGGCGCGTTCGTGCGGTGAGTGCGGCGGGAGGGGCGGACTGTGGACGACCCTCTTGATGACGCGTCTGAGGCGGCTGACCTTAGGTGCGTGCGGCCAGAGGAGGTGAGCCTCACGCGGTACATCATCAAGACGGTCGACGAGCCGTCGCCGCAGCCGCCGCCCTCTCCGGGGGCGCACGGCATCGGAGGCCGGCCGGCGGAGGAGGAGGAGGGGCTGCACTTCCGGGAGTCGTATGCTCGTGCTCGGTACGTGTTGTGGGGGGAGGTGGCGGCGAGGCCGCCGAGCAGCCGGCCCCTCTCTGAGTGGGTGGAGGAGGAGGGGGCGGCGTTTGGGCGGACCAACGCGTGGGCGAGGCCCACCGCCCTCTAGAAGCGGAATGCGGACCTGCGGACTCCAGCCGGCGCTCGAGAGGCCACGCATGCAGCCGACTCCGACCCAGCCGCATCCTCCGCCGTATCCGGCCGCATTCAGCCGTATCCGGCCGATTCTCCGCCGTCTCTCTCCGTTGCAGCCGTAGCTTGTGTCCACGCGGTGCTCGCACGAGGCCGCCTCCCCCCCCCCCCCCTCTGGCGTACTCACACCACACTCACCCCACAGGCTCCTCGCGTGGCAAGCCGCCGGGGCGTGGGAGGCTACCCTCGAGACCGACGCCACTGGCGCCGAGCGCTCCGCGCTGCTCAGCGAGGGAACGCACTACCTGTCGGGCAGCTGCTCTGCCGCCGGCTCCGAGCGGCTTGGGGGCGGGGCGGCTCGGTGCCCGCCGGACGTCGCTCTCTCCCCATGTCTCCCCATCTCTCCCCAGGTCTCCCCAGGTCTCCCCAGGTCTCCCCAGGTCTCCCCAGGTCTCCCCAGGTCTCCCCATATGTCTCCTCTCCCCAGGTCTGCCCATGTCTCCCCATGTCTCCCCATATGTCTCCTCTCCCCAGGTCTGCCCAGGTCTGCCCATGTCTCCCCAGGTGCCCGCCGGACATCGCTCGCTTCGAGGCGGAGGTGGAGGTGCTGGCGGCGCGGCTTCTGAGGCTGGTGCAGCCGACGAGACGCGATCCGGGCAGCGGCGCGTCCAAGTGCCTAGAGGAGACGACGTGTGCAGGACACGTCCATGACATGTCCGAGACATGTCCTCGCACAGAGTCCAAGTTTCTAGAGGAGATGACCGACGCGCGGCGCTGGCTCTGCTGCGGCTGGACCGAGTACCTGCAGGGGCGCTGGAGGCGGGAGCGGCAGGCGGCCTGCCGGGGGGCGGGAGCGCCGCGGTATGTTGGGCCGCTTTCAGAGCCAACGACCTCCGAGTCCAGTCACTCTAGGCGATTGTCGATGGAGGTGTCACCGAGGTTCGCTGGCCAGTGCGCTCGCCGGGGCGGGTGGGCGAGGGCGGCGAGGGCGGCGAGGGCAGCGGCGAGGAGGAGGAGGAGGACGATGAGGAGTGGGGGGCGGAGGAGCCGCCCTGACACCTCTCGAGGTCTCGAGGTCGTCACGCACACGGGCAGCCGAGTGCGTACGCGGTGCGGACATGGTGGAGTAGGATCAGCTCGAAGTCTTCGAGATGGACGTACGCTGCCACGTCGAGAGCTGCCGCGCCATCAGCCGCCTCTGCAGCCACGCGCAGGCCCGACATATGGGGAGATGTGGGGAGATGTGGGGAGATGTGGGGAGATGTGGGGGGATATGCCTCTGCAGCCACGCGCAGGCCCGACTGCCGGACTGACATTGCTGCGCCACCAGCCATCACCTCTGCATCCACGCGCCGTCTCCCGCCCTTTTGTGCCCACCACGCACGCACCTCGTTGAGAGACGCACCCCTAGGAAGGTTCCTAGCAGCTTCCTAGCAGCGGCCTGCCGTCCACTGCAGGTCCACGCCTGTTGCGAGGTCTGCCACGCCACGCTCGCGAGGCGACGCCCGGGCGCCGAGGGCGGCTCATTCTCTCACCCTCGCAGAACCCGAGCTCGGAACCGTTCTCTAGGCCGAGCCAGTGGGCCGGGGGGAGGGCGATCCTCGTCGGGGGAACCGCCTTCCGCCGGCACAGAGCGCTGCCGCCGTCGGACGCCTGACGAGGTTATATTCAGGTTGTTTTGTCGGGGGGTGTCCCGTTGCGGCCGACAGGGCGGCGGGGGCCCCCACGGGCACGGCGCACGGGCGGCGGCGGGCGCGGGCCCACAGCGCACCCTCCGTGTGGGAATTTCCGCGCATACACGCATCTACATGAGAAAGGGTCCCAAATCACGAGATGTATCGCACTCGGCGCGACAAGGGGTGTACCCACACACACACACACACATTTTGCGAAAAGGGAGAGACGGCCTAGGCCAGCACGACGCTGGCAACGACGGCGAGCGAGCCGCCGCCCGTCACGGCGGCGGCAATCATCAGTGGCGTGATCTCAAACTCCTCAAAGTTCTCCTTGGAGAAGAGGTTTGGCAGGTCATCTTGCACGCCCGTCTTGGGGGTCGGCCCCTGGAAGAACATGTAGTCGGTGCCCTGGCGGGACGGAGCGCGGAGCGGCGGAGCGGGGTGAGGCGATGAGCGGCTGCAAGGAGGCAACGCGAGCGGATGCAGCCAAGGCGCAACGCGCCTTCTTGAACTTGTCGCCCTGCGGACCGCCCGCCTCGGTGATCCACTCCCAGCCCATGCTGACTGGGGAGCTGCGGCTCGCGCGCGCCGCCGGCGCAGCGACGACGGGAGCCACGCGGAGCGCGGACGCCAGCGGCGAGGCGGCGGCGAGCAGGAAGCAGAGATACCTGAGCATGGAGGCGAAGAGAGATTCCTGCGAAAACGTCGTGAAGAAAAACCAGAAAAATCTCACACACATGTTTCTACTTGCTGTTTGTGTTCTGGATCTCGGAGATAGGGGCGCAGGAATGGGAACTTAATAAGTAAGTTGAACATTTTATGCTCTCTGATCTCTGGCTGAGTGCGCGGCACACCACCACCACGGCGGAACCGTTGGCCACTGGCGAGAGAGAAAAACGAGTGAACCAGAGTTGCACAGAGAACGTGTGTATCTCTTCAGTCGCGTGCTCGCGTCACTACCGCTACCACGGCGGCACACTTTCACGCGGCGTGGCGCCGTGCCGTGGGGCTGAGAATCGGGCTGCAACATGGCTACTATATATCCTAGATCGGACGCGGAACCATCCATGTCATCACAGAGACGAGGACACAGGCAGGCAGACGCACCACATTTTTTCAGCGCCCCCCCCCTGGGTGTCTGTGTCTCTGTGAGCTAAGAGGCGGCCCGAATAAAAGCAGCAAGACGCTCACGTGAGGGTCGTAATCCGACCCGAGTGTCTCAAGCTTGAGCCCAGGGGAGCCCCCCCGTCCTTCACAATCTCCTAGATCTAACTACTTCGCTTTCCACGCACAGGTCGCAGCCGCCTCACGCGCCGCCGGGCGCCCCCTCGGGCAGGCCGCGCCCTCTCGTCTCCGGCAGGCTGGCGCCAATCACGACCGCGAGCGCGCACATGGCCGAGATGACGGCGAGCGTCGCGGTGGAGCCGAGAATGCCGGGCAGCGGCGACGAGAAGAAGGAGCCGAGCTTGCCCGCCGCCGAGCAGAGGCCTAGGGCGCTCGCGCGCAGCTTCGTGGGCCAGAGCTCGGCCGTGTGCACGTAGATGACGTTGAAGGCCGCCATCGCGCAGAGGTTTCCATAGAGCGAGGCTGCCGTGGCGACCGACGGCCAGAGCGCGCCCGCGCCGATGACGAGGGCGATGCTGGCGTAGAATAGCGTGCAGGCGCCGCGGCGGCCGAGGCGGGGGTGGTCCATCGACAGCGAGGATATTGATTGCGTGTCGTGTGAATCGTGCGTGTGCGAGAGCCTTGTGTTGTAAAATTCTTTTTCAGAGTCATTTCTTTTTCTCGGCGCTAAGTGCATTGCCCGGGCTTACCGGAGTCGCTTAGAGGCGGCTCCTGATAGTGCTAGCACGCGCCAGTCCGCACCTGTGTCGAGCCTGTCTGCTAAAACTTTCTTTCTTTCGGGAGTTTTCTTTCTTCCTTTCTTTCTTAAAATTCTTTCTTTCTTTCGCCCGAAAGTCTGGGACAGGGCAAGCGCTCGGGGTGTGGAGAGAGATTTTTAGCAATACCAAACAACTCTAACACTGTGTTCGGGGTGTGTCCCATCAGCAATGAAGGACGCCTCGCGCACCGTGAGCGGCTCGCCGGCCTTCAAAGAAAACAGACACCCCAAGGGAGGGATGGGAGGACGGCACGCCGCCACCACACAGGCAGGCCCCGCAAAATTCTTTTTCCCTTGTCGTGCCAGTGTGATTGTTTTCTAAGAATTCTTTTTCTGGCTCTCCGCCGCGGTTATCGCGACAGCCCGGCTTGCATGGACAAGATCGAGGTGAAGCGGCTGGCCTACACGCACCAGGGGCGCACCATCTACGAGTGGGAGCAGACGCTCGAGGAGCTCCACGTCTACATCCGGCCGCCGCCCGGCGTGACGGCAAAGATGGTGAGCTGCACCATCCGGCCGGGCGAGATGACCCTTGGCATTAAGGGGAACCCACCCTTCCTGAGCGAGCGGTTCGAGTCGGGAGTCAACTCGGACGAGTCGATGTGTGTGCTCGCTCCGCCCCGGCCGTGCCTCGAGCGGCGCGCTGGAAGCGCCAATCCGCAACTCGCCGCCGCACGTCCCTCGCGCAGGTGGTGCATGGAGGACGGGGAGCTGCACATCATACTGACGAAGGTGTCGCGCGGCGTGCCATGGTCGGCCGTCTTTCAGGGCCACACGAAGGCGCCCCGGCGCGGGTTGTGGCTGCTGCGACCCGGCTCTGCCCCGACCCTCTTGCGCCGATCGCAGGTTGACCCCTTTACGCAGTCGGAGGTGCAGAAGTCGCTGATGCTCGAGCGCTTCCAGGAGGAGAATCCCGGCTTCGACTTCTCCGGCGCCACCTTCAATGGGCAGGTGCCGGACCCAAAGACGTTTATGGGCGGCGTCGGGTACAAGTGATGAGAGGCGGAGAGGACCGCGCAAGGCGCATACTCGTGGCGTAGTGATTCGATTGATGAGTCTTTTTGCATGTAACCGCGACCTGTGGGACTATAGAAGCACTGGTACATTTCGATACGTAGCAAGCGCACACCCTGGCGCTCACGCCCACAGCCTCCCAGCCCCACGCGCACTACAAGAGAGAGACGGGGTCGACCGCGAGCGTCCTCCTATAATCTAAAATCTGAGGATTCAGGATTGAGGCATCGCTTCAGTGAGGTCAAAGTGAGTTTATGGATGTGTGAGAACGGTACGGGACACGAGGAGTCACGCGGACCGACTCGTCGGTGACACCAGGGACATGCTGCCCCTCCCTCATGCCCGCTCGGCCACCTCCGCCCGGACCTTCTCGAGCTCCACGTCGCGCGCCGCCACCGTCCCCTTCAGCTCCGCCACCTGGTCGAGCGCGTCGCCGAGCAGCCCCTTGGCCACGCCCAAGTCGCGCAGCTGCTCCACGCCGCCGCTCGCCCGCACCTCGGCGGCGTGGTCGGCCACGAAGCGGCGGCACTGCGCGAGGAGGAGGCGCCCGTCGCCCAGCGTGTGCGCCACGTCGAGCAGCGGCACGGCGGTCGCCGGCCCGACGCTCTCCTGCAGCGCCTGCGCGCATAGCAGCTCGAGGCGCGGCACCTGGTACATCTGCGCCAGCTCCCGCAGGTCGAGCGCGCGCTGCGCCCTGCCGCCCTCCTCTTCTGAGGTGTGGTCTGGCGCGCTCATAAAGTACATCGGGACAGGTTGACTTGTGGTCGCAGAGCCACCTCATCAGAGCAAGCCACGACACTAGCGCCAATCTCAAAGAGCAACTCTTCAGGAGGCGCCTTGCCTGCCTTGTGGGCGGCGGCAAGCGCCCGGTTGAGTAGGCCGTTCCATGGCGTATAAAGGGTCTGCAGCATACCTCGCGTGTGGCAATTGATCGATCGGATCTTACAGGGAGACTCTCTTAAGTTGGAGTGCGGGAGGGTAGTCCAAGCTTTCGCGGGTGCACGTGCTGTAGCAAGCCCGAAGAAGGCAATCATTTGTCGATAAACATCCGCGAATCTGTCACCGACGAGCATCTCAAACTGCACAACTAGCACCTGTTGCCTTGGCCATGTGCGCTCCCATTGCTGCAGTTGTAGATGGTACATACTGCCCATGACGCCCACCGCCTTACCACGCGGGTTCGTTTTCCACGCTCGCGCCCAATAGCACGCCGCGGAGAAGTCCTGCATCCCGCAGTACCGCAGCCACTCAAACATTTCGCAGCGCGCTAGCTCATCGAATGAGGGTGCGAGTCCCATGCGGGGCAGAGCTTCGACTTCGGGACAAGCCCATTTCACCTCCCAAGTTGAAGGTGGCTGAGTCAGCAGATGATTGTAGAGCGATAGCTGTCGCGAGATGGGCTCGCGAATGACGGCGACTATGCGCACAAGCTGTGTGGGCGATCTGCTCGCCTCAGCGAACCTCCACAGTGCCTCTGCGGCGGAGACGTCCTTGAGACGTACGGGGTTGGCGTCCATGTACTCGGTGCAATTTGTTTGCTTGGAGCCGGGCTGCGGCCAGCTGTCAAGGTATTGGCCAGGCGTCTTTGTGTGCACATCTCTGTACCAGATAGCCGGCTCCTTCTTGTTCTGAGCTGAGGGCTCAAGCGAGCCACACACAGTCGTGCCGTCGGCGAAGAGTTTAAACAGCGAGCTTGTGCTGGCCTTCTTCGACCCTATGATGTGAAGGCGTGCGATCATTGCGTCGCGCACTGACGCACTCGAACTTCCCAATCTGATTAAGAATTTATAGGCGGGATGTGGAATTGCGACTCGCCGCTTTCCTCCCGCTGTGATTCTGTGTGAGCTCCGATGACGTCGCCCCTCCTCGCCACGCTCGGCCTCTCGCTCATGACACCGCTCTCCGTCCTCTCCGACGTGCTGCTCGGCCAGGCGCACGCACGTCTCGCCGCCCTTCTTCCTCGGCACGGCCGCCGTCTTTGTCGGCTTCCAGCTCGAGCACTATGCTGAGGGCCGCGACGCCACGGCGCGCCATCCTGGCGGCGCCGCGACGGACGACGCGGACGAGGTGGAGGTGGCCGTCGCTCGTCTGGCGACCCCCCGGCTCTCGTCGCTGGCCGCCGACAGGGCGCGCTCAACCGCGTACGCCGCGCTCGACGACTCGTGCGCGACACCGCCCCTGTCGGTCGGTCCGTCACCGCACATGGATCGCCGAGGAGCGGCAGGCCCAACCGTGGTCGATCGGCTTCGACCCGGCGAGCCCCGAGGGGGTGCTGGGCAAGGTTGCCCTCCACCCCCACGCCATCCCCCCCCACAGTGACCACGAAGAACTTTTGCACCGAGTCTTGCAACTTGACTGCCATCGCCGGGACATATAGGCAAAGGCCAAGTTTGACAGTCTGCTTAGCAAGCTCGACTCGGACTCGCAGGCCTTTGCGTGTCCTTGCGAGAGCCCGGACGCTTGCATCTGATGATAGACGCCTTCCAACGACGCGCGCAGGCTCTGTTCTCGGGTGACTTGGCCTCCAAGATGAAGGCAAGGCTCGACAGCCTGCTCGGCAAGCTCGGCGCGGACAAGGGCGACTCGAGCTCGATCCTCTTTGGCAGCACCATCGGCAACGACGTCGCGATTAGCAAGGTGCACAGCCTCCCGAAACCCTCCTAACCCTCCCCTGACCCTCCCCACGCCCGGCGGTCACCAACCCCCCCCCCCCCCCTGCCCATTTACCAGCACATGTCGGCCGCGGCGGACGCTCTCGGCAACGCGGCCAAGGTTGTCACCGCTGAGGCCAGCCCGCCCCTATGATGGCCAGATCTAGCACCCCAAGGGAATTGGTTGCACCGGGATCGGATGCACAGAAGGTTGATGAGAAACAAGAAGCTCGCATTCACACTGCAGGCCAGCAAGACAAAGGAGACGCTCGGCGGCCTCTTCACCAAGCTCGGCGAGAAGGGCGCAGCTTGGATCTCCTTCGATCCGCCGACGGCCGACGCCGTGGCCACCACCATCAAGGCAAAGTTCGACCACGCGCTCGTCACGGTGCGAGGTCTCGTCGATGGCCGCCCCTGAGCACTCCATTGCACCGACCGAAGGGCCTCGCGGTCACACAGCGAGGCATGACGGCGGGGCGAGGCCTAATTGCACGGTGAAATCCTGTGGTGATGTGGTGCCGGGTCGCGCCCGCCTTGCGAAGCAGTCCAGCGCCTCCACAACCGGGCCTTTGGCGCCAGGGCAAGCGCGGGGCTCGCGCAACCCTGCTTGTTCGTGATCTGTCGGAAGCAGATCCTAGAGCCGTATGACTCGGTCTCTGGTGTCTGGAAGGCTGCCTGGGGGACCGGGACCGGCGGGGCGCTCCCCCCCCCCTTCCCCCCTTCCCCCCCCCCCCCGCGCGCGCGCCAGTCTTCGCACTTGTGTCTCGTTGTCACGAGTTGTCTTCGTCTCAACCTACGCGCCACGTCGTCAGTCGTCACACACGTGCGCGACTCTGTGGCGCGGTGTGGCGCGCACCCTCGCCACTGGTTGGGTAGTAGTCTAAGTTCTGAGCCTGGAGGCCTAATGGGTCTAAGTGTGGCTAGCCACGCTGGAGTGCTTGCGCGGTCTAAGATCAGCGGGAGCCTCTTACATCGGCTAAGTCGGCCGTGGCACGGCCTGGGGCCAAGGCTCCCACCGTGATCAACGCCCCGTGATCAACATCGGCACAGCCCCCAAATTTTCTTCGCCTGCGGCGGGCGATCGATCCTCCTCATGCTCAGCAATCGCCGCCTCAGCATCCTCCTCTTCCGGTTCTCGTTGCTGCCTCCTGAGCGCAATGTTCGGCGACTTCTAGCCAAACAGTTCTCACAAATAGCCTCAAGCTCAAACAGACGCGTGTCAGAGAAGCCTCTGTGTATGCTGGTCCTCTTTGTATTGAACGATCCGCGCGTGAGGTAGCATAGGGCCTTGTTGGCAGCAGCCAGCTTGTTGCGCTGCTTCGTTGCGATGAGCTGATTGGGATCGCAGAAGTGCATGCCAAGCACCGCCACGATCTTGAAGCAGAACACATCGCAACCGCATCGTCCGCACTGCCATCGGCATGCCGCGCCCGCCGCTTCGCCGCAGCCGCCTTAAGGCACGCATAGCGGCAGCATATGGTACGTTGGTCGTTGCGCGTACTTGAGCAGGCGTTGCGCGCCGCAAGTAGCGCACTGGCCCTGGGAGAAGGCGATATGGCGTCGTGCGCGGCAAACGTTGGTCGGGACGCGTCCAGGTATTTTTCGGGTAAACCTGAAAGCTGATTCAACCAGGTATACCCGGGTTTTACCCGGAGTTGGCCTTATGTCGTCTAAGTTCATGGCCCCCGACCATGAGGGTCTAAGTCTGAGCCCGGCTCCGTGCGGGGGCTAAGTTGAGCGCTCGCTCGCTGCAGAGGCTAAGTGTAGAGCGACCCTCTAGCCCTACTACCCAACCATTCCCTCGCCCCTCGGGGGACGGAGCCTCGGCCGCCGCGAGGGGGGCGAGTGTGAGGGATCAGGTCATATAACAGTGTGTGCAGGGCTGAGATTTGGGATCTCAGCGGGTGAAAAAAATGGGCAACAATTAAATTAACAATCTCAATGAGATGTGTGTTGTGTGAGAACAGGACGGGTGGACGGCCGTCGTCGGCCGATCGACGAAACACACGCGCGAGCTGACGATACTCGCGTTGCTGCCACACTCGCACGCCACACGCTGCGGCGGGGAGCCCTCTCTCTCTACTGGGAGCCCTCTCTCTCTACTGCGCTACGTCACGATGACATCACGCTCGAGGTACTGGTCGCGGCGAGCCTTCCCCGGCCGCCAACATCTGTGGGTGGAGAAGAAGCAGTAGGTGCCCACGCACCAGACGAGGAGGAGGCCGAGGGTGAGGCCGACCACGAGGTTGAAGAGGGTCCCCTCGCCTGCGCGGCGCGGCCGGCGGGCGTGAGGAGAGGCCGTTTGCAAGGTTCGGGTGTGGCGGGCGGGGTGGGGGGGTGAGGGGGGGGGTGGGTTGACAGGGGGTGGGGGGGAGGGGGGGGGGGGGGGGGGGCCTTTTTCTCCCCAAACCCCAAAGGGTCCCCCCCCTCCAAAAGGGGGGCTTTGAAGTTTCTCCCAAAAACCCCCCCCATAAAAGGGCCGCCCCCCAAAATCCCCCCGGGGGTTCCCCCGAGCACCTCCCCCTGGGGGGCCCGGGGGGGCAAAAAAAATGGAGGGTGTGGCGGGAGCAGACAGGGAGAGGTGTGTGAAGAGCAGAGCGTGCCATACCTCGGCTAGGCCTCGGCTACACCTCGGCTAGACCTCGGCCATACCTCGGCTCAGACCTCGGCTAGACCTCGGCTAGATCTGGCGCCTTGAGAAGTCGGTTGCGTGCCGAGTCGAGCCGGAAAGAGACGAACTTCTCGGTAGACTCGATCGAGTACGCGATCGCCTGCGGAAAGGCTCGAGGAGAGGTCGAGGAGAGGTCGAGCAGGGAGACGGACTTCTCGCTCGGTCGAGCGCGCGATCGCCTCCAGAGCGCCCAGCGTGGAGCCGACCTCCTGCGCGTACGACTCGAGCAGCATCTCCACCTCCTCGTGCTCCTCGAGGTCCTACCTCAGCTCCACAGCAATATCTCCCCATATCTCCCCGTATCTCCCCGTATCTCCCCCTCGAGGTCCTACCTCACTCCACAGCAACCTTTTCTCCACCGCTCGAGAGCGGCGCGCGCCACCCCCTCGGGGCCTCATATCTCCCCATATCTCCCCATATCTCCCCGTATCGCCACCTCGTCGGGGCCCCCGGACCGGCGCATGAGGCCACGCCCCTCCCACCCGCAAGCATCTCCCGCCCCCCCTCGCTAGCCTCGCGCCTCCTCGTCGCCCTCCGCACCGCCGTCCGACAGCAGCGACGCGCTGCGGCCAACCTGCCTGAGCGAGCCAGCAGGCAAGGGCGTGTGCGGCGGAGGCGTCTGCATGGGTGTCGCAGAGGAGAACTTGGCCAAGGTCTCCTACAGGAAGGCTCCAGGAAAGGTCTAGGAGAGACTTTTCCGGCAGCCGAGAACTTGGCCAAGCGTTCCTCGGTGGCCCTCCGCCGCAGCGCTGTCTGCGGCGGCGCCGGCGCAACGCCGCGCGCCGCGCTGTGCAGCCGCGAGAGGTACATCCGCGCCTGCGGGACATGTCTCGGACATGTCGTGGACGTGTCCTGGACGTGCGCGGCCGCGAGAGGTGCGTGCGCACCATGTCCTCGTCGTCGTCTAGGCAAGCGTCGATGGCTCGGTCGAGCGCCTGCGCTGTCAGAGAGAGCTCGCGCACTTCTTGCTTCAGCTCGCGCACCGCCTACCTCGCAGCTCGTCCACGGTGATTCGGATGGAGTGGGCTGCCCCCTCCTGCGCCAGCTCGCGGACAGCCTCGAGCTGCTTCGACCCCGCTACCACGCGCGAGCCAACCACCTGGCGAGAGAACGAGGGCGGCTGCACCGAGCGAGAGGCTGTGCGAGGGACGCGGCGCCACGCGCGAGCGGTCGACCGTGCGCCGCAGTTCGAGCAGCGCGCACCTCACGAGCGAGCCCAGCTCCTCCTGCCGAGCGTGTGCACGTAAGCTCAACTCCATCCACCCGACTGGGTAGTGAAGCTTCGTCAGTGAGTTCTCAACTCGACTGCTGGGGGGCCGGGTTCAGTTTAGTCAATGAAGTGTTCCTCCACCTGCCGCTTGTGCAGGTCGGAGCACGCAATCATGAGGACCGCCTCCAGCGCCGCAAACTCAAAGGGCGGCGGCGCGCCGCTGTCCGCGCCGAAGCCGCCCGTCGCGACGCTCGAGAGCGGCGGCGGCGTGTACGGCGGAGGCGTGCCCGCCGCCCGCGCCGGCGCGATCGGCCCGCCGTCGTGGCGTGCGGGGTGGGGGCTGTGCTCCGTGGAGGGAGGCTCGGAGCGCGCCGCGCCGCCGCTGTCGCCGGCGAGGGAGCCGTGCAGCACGAGGAGGAGGTTGCGGTGCACCTGATGGAGGCGGCGGTGGCGGCGGTGGTGGCGGAGGAGAGAAGGTGCTGGAGGAGGAGGCGGTGGTGGGCGGGCGGCGGTGCAGGCGCCTCTTGCAGCATCGAGTCTGCGCCGTCCGGCACAATAAAGTAGAGGCGGTCGTGCAGGATGATGGCGCGGAGCTCGGTCCGGCCCAGCGAGACGGTGATTGAGCCGCACCGCACCAGGATCACCGGCTCGAGCCGGCCGGCAAACAGCGGGTCGACCTTCCGCACGTCGCGCGCCTTGAGGACGGCGTCGGCGCCGAGGCGAGCCGCGGGCCCGTCGGCTCTCTGCAGCCGGAGGGGCGTCGAGGCGCGGCGCGCCTCCTCGAGCAGCTCGCGGCGCGACATGTGCCGGATCGCCGACTGCTTGTTTGCGCCCACCTCAAACACAAGAATCGTCCTCTCTCGATCCTTGATGTTGACCCGCCGCGCCGAGTCGGCCGCCGCGCTGGGCTCGCCGATGGGGGCGCGCCCGACAAGTGCGCCCGTGTACATGCCAGTCTCCTGGCCGTCGCGCATGCACCTTCTATGGGCCGTCGCGCATAGAGAGAAGGTGCTCGGTAAAAAGAATTGGGGCGCACAAGCCTGTCTTACAACTCACAGCCTGTCCTCCCATCCCTCCCTTGGGTTGTCCGTTTTCTTTCTTTTTCAGCACACAGGCTCGACACAGGTGCGAACTGGCGCGTGCTAGTACTATCACCGGCACAAAAAAAATTCCAGGTCCGTGAATGCTTTTCCGGAGGTACGGCTCCCAAGACGCCGTTGGACCACCCTGCTTTTGATGGTGCGCGCCTCCGCCCTGCCTGTGGCGCCGACGGTAGTAGCAAGATCCCAGAAAGGCACCTCCGCCTCTGGACAGGGTGGCCCGCAGCCGCACTAATCGACCCCTGTTGAGTGACTCGTTCGCTTACCACCCACTGTGATTTTGTGTGAGCTCTGTGTCTTCCTTTGCCAACAACATACCTACAAGCGAGTAGGCTGCGGGTCGATCGCGCCCGCTTCACCATCATCATCATGCTCCTCATCACCAAGATCCAGGCTGCTGCGCGCGGCCTCAACACTCGCACTTTTCACTGACCAAGTTCTTCAAGGCCTGCCCGCCCAGCGGGCGCACCGCCGACCTCTTCCTCAGCCGCGTCTACGGCGGCCACGAGGGCGGGCGGCGGCGCGGCGGCGGCAGCGTCGTCGACTTCATCTACTGTTTGCGTTCCACTCGTCTTCCTCTACCTCTTCAGGAAGCGCTGACTCGATTCCCCCTTTCAATCTACTACCCTCACGACACAGTGCGCGACTGCCACGGAACCAACGGGTTCTGCAACCAACACGAGGTCAACGGAGAGCAGCTGAGCCTGCCTCCGCCCTCGTCCCCCTTCACCTCCGGTGAGTCGCCCTGCCCCAGTCGTCCAGAGCACGACCTCTGGCGAGTCAGCCCGCGGTCACTTGATGACCCCCCCAAGAGCACCAAGAAGAAGGCAAGGAAGAACAAAAAATCCCGCGACGCCAAAGCTGCGGCTGTGGCCGCCGCTGCAGCGGCTGCAGAGGCGGCGGCGCGGAAGGCTGCGGCGGCAGCGGCCGCTGCAGAGGCGGCCGCTCAGGCGGCCGCTCAGGCCGCTCAGGCGGCCGCTCTCGGACGGTACAGGTTGGTCAACGCTTGGTTCTATCCTCGCGGCGACTGGTACACCTTGTTAGTACTGTGGGATGGCAGCTCGGCCGACAAGGTCGCAACGCGCGCTGTCTTCCCGACGCTCGAGCACGACCAACTACGACCCCAGCCCCCTCGCAGAGCGCATCAGGCGCGACAAGCGCGAGGCGTCCGACCGCTCCTCCGACGACTCTTCCTCCGACCAAGACTCACGCGGCTCCGCGGCTCTACTAGCGTGCACCTCGATCCTGTACCGTGTTTGTTATGACCCCCCCAATGAACACACCAGTGAGGGAGGGCGAGACGATCGAGGGGTCCCGTACCATGCGGAATCGACCCTATCCAGTGCTCAAGTGCTCAAGCGAGGCGAATGACATTTTCGACACCCTCGACGACCATCTCGGCTACGGTTCCGACTCCGGCTTCGGCTGGTAGTCGACAAGCTGCCGAGCCCAAGTCACTGTCAGTGCTAGATTTCTTGTTGGCTTCTAAAAGTCTCAAGAGAGACCTCCTTATCAGCTGGTCGGCCGCCATGTGGGCCTCCGGGCCTGCTGCAGACGGCGGGGCCGGTTGAGGCCGGGGCTCGGCCCCGGCCCGCGACGGCTGGCCGCCGACGAGCGCACTCGCGCTGCTCGTCAAAATGGTGGCGGTGTCGATTGCGGCGACGGTCGTTCAGTCGCTCAGCGCGACATGTGCCGGATCGCCGACTGCTTGTTTGCGCCCACCTCAAACACAAGAATCGTCCTCTCTCGATCCTTGATGTTGACCCGCCGCGCCGAGTCGGCCGCCGCGCTGGGCTCGCCGATGGGGGCGCGCCCGACAAGCGCGCCCGTGTACATGCCAGTCTCCCGGCCATGAAGCGAAGGTAAAGAAAGAAAGAAAACAGACAACCCAAGGGAGGAATGGGAGGACGGTACGCCGCCACCACACACGGATTTTAGGGGAGAAGTGTCGTGTTAGCCGTCGCCCACCCTCGGGCGTCTACCACTTCCTATTATTCTATCTCTCTCCGCAGTTTATCACCAATTCTTGCAGCGACCTTCATGCCACCTCGCATTCTTCTCACTCTCGTCGTTCTCTCTCCTGCTGTCTCTTCCCCTGACTCATCGCTCTCCTCGGCGCTGCTGGGTCCCAATTCGAATTCTTCTTCCCTTCACGACGCTTCCGCGACGGCCTGACTGCATCTCTCATGACATCGTTCGTACGACCGGCCATGCCTCTGCTGCTTGCGCTGAGCGGCTTGGCCCCCGGGCTGGCGCTGCACGCGCCCGCCGCGGCGCGTGCAAGGTCACCGTGCATGCAGATCAAATCGCCTGAGCGACCTGGCTCTGTCGCCGACATGTCTGCGGCGATGGCAGACATGCGTGAGCAGCTGGCGGCGGACGAGCGGACGTCAGCCCTCATCTCGGCGATGCGTGGCACGAACATCAACGACGACGACAATGCCGCGAGCGGCACTACGCTGCAGGTCGTCGAGATGCGCGCCGGCGACGACAGCCTCCCGACCGAGTACGACCCGGCGGCGCTCAGCGCTTACTTCCGCAAGCGGCCCGGCGCGGTGCTGACCCGCATCGGGCAGCTCGCACTGTATGGAGGCGCGTGGGTCGCGAAGACCCTGTTGAGCGCGCTTCGCGGCGAGCTGACCTCCGGCTCTGAGGGCGAGGTCGCCGCCGTCGCCGGGCTGCGAGACGTCCTCGTCTCGCTGGGCCCCTTCTACATTAAGCTGGGGCAGGCGCTGAGCATACGGCCCGACATCCTGTCGCCGCAGGCGATGGTCCAGCTGCAGCAGCTCTGCGACAAGGCGCCGCCCTTCGGCCGTGCCGATGCCGTGTCCCAGACCCGTCCCGGGCCCGTCCGCGGAGCCTTCCCGGTTCCCGGAACCCGCCCCGCAGGTGCCGCCCTTCGAGTCGGCTGTCGCGATGCAGTGCGTCCGCGACGAGCTCGGCGTGGAGGACGTCTCCGAGCTCTTCTCCACCATCACGCCGGAGCCGGTCGCCGCAGCGTCGCTCGGCCAGGTGTACAAGGCGACGCTGCGCGAGGGCGGGGACGAGGTGCGCAGTCAAGGTGCAGCGGCCAGCCATGTCCAGGACACGTCCATGACATGTCCGAGACACGTCCCGCAGGTGGCGGTCAAGGTGCAGCGGCCCTTCGTGCTAGAGACGGTGTCGCTCGACCTGCACCTCGCCCGCGCCGCCGGCCAGTTCCTGCGCAAGATGTCGCCCGAGGCGTCCCAGCGCGTCGACGTCGTTTCGCTGCTCGACGAGTTCGCTGCCAACTTTTACCGTGAGCTGGACTACGTTCTCGAGTGCGAGAACGGGATCCGGATCGCCCGCGACATGCGCCGCCTCCCGCGCGTCAAGATCCCGGCCAACTACCCGCAGCTCACTTCCCGACGCGTGCACACCGCCGAGTGGGTGGACGGCGAGAAGCTCTCGCAGTCGACGGCGGACGACGTCGGCGAGCTGGTCAACTTGGGCGTGATCACGTACCTCACTCAGCTGCTCGACACGGGCTTCTTCCACGCCGACCCGCACCCGGGCAACATGCTGCGCACGCCCGAGGGGCGGCTGGTCATCCTCGACTTTGGGCTGATGACGGAGGTGACCGACGACCAAAAGTACGGCATGATTGAGGCGATCGCGCACCTGATCAACCGCGACTACTCCCTCATTGGGGAGGACTTCAAGAATATGGACTTCATCCCGCGCGACGTCGACACGGCGCCCATCGTGCCCGCCCTCTCCAAGGTCTTCGATGTCGCCCTCGCCGGCGGTGGCGCAAAGAGTATCAACTTCCAGGAGCTCGCCGCGGACCTCGCGGAGATCACGTACGAGTTCCCGTTCCGCATCCCGCCCTACTCCGCCCTCATCATCCGCGCCATCTCGGTGCTCGAGGGCATCGCGCTTGTCGGCAACCCGCAGTTCGCAATCATCGACGAGGCCTACCCGTACCTCTCGAGGAAGCTGCTCACCGACGACAGCCCGCGCATGCGCGAGGCGCTGAGGTACATGGTCTACGGCGAGGGCAAGACCTTCGACGTCGACCGTGTCATCGACCTGCTCCAGGCCCTCGAGAAGTTCGTCGCCGTGCGCGACACTGGCGACGGGACCGCGTACAAGGTCGACGGCGTGCGTGGTGGCGTCTACGTTGGCCAGGCGGGAGACGCGGCTCTCTGCACGGGGCGTGGACACAAGACACGTCCCGGACGTGTCCCGGACGTGTCCTCTAGGCGGGAGACGCGCGCGGCACGAGGGCCCTCGACGCTGACGGCGACGCAAAGGCGCGCTCCGCCCTCGACGCCTACCGCGCCGAAGCCGTCGAGGGCGTCAGCGACGGCTTCAGCGACGCCGGCTTTGCGGCGGCGGCGTCGGCGGCGGCGGCGACGTCGTCGTCGAGCGTGGCGGCGTCGGCGGCGAGGACTGTGGAGAGCGAGGCGCAGGCGCAGGCGTCGACGGCGCGCGAGGCGGTCGGTTTCTTCTTTTCGGACGACGGTCAGGTCTTCCGCGACTTTCTGGTCGATGAGGTCGTCGCCGCCGCCGACGCGCTGTCCCGCGAGGCGCTGCAGAACCTGATCCTGACTGCGCCGGGCCGGGCGCTCGACCGGCTGCCTCAGCCACGCTTCGTGCGCGCCTTCAACCGCGAGGTTCGCGACGCGCTCGCGCCCAAGCCGACCGAGAGCGACGAGAAGGTGCTCTCCTCCATCCGGAGGCTGCTCGACTTCTTCCTCGGCGACCTCGACGCCGCCGGCACCGACCCGCCGCCAAACTCAAACTCGCCCGCCGTCCTCCGCTCGCTCGTCCCCGACCAGGCGGCACGCGCGCGCGCGGTCGCGCTGCTGCCCATCCTGCGGGAGAACCAGCAGGACATGCGCGCTTTCGGGCTGACGATCGTCGGCCGGCTCGCCGAGCTGCAGACGGGCCGCGCTCTCGGGCTCGTCCGCAGCCGCATCGGCGCTCAGGCGAAGCCCGTGGCGTTGAGAGAGGCGGCCGAGTGAGCTCTCAAGCTGCTAACCCTCCTCCATGGCGGCGTGTGCGGGTGGTCGGTCCGATTCTTTATCGCCTCGCCGGCTGTGCCCATTGTGTGTCTTTTACTCGATCGGTTTGAGAGGCGCGGCCTTCCCCTTCGTGCGTTACCGAGGTAGCACAAGCAGAGGTGGGGTGCGCACAGTCTCCACGCACCACACGGTGGGCGCCGCGCCCGCGCCGTCCACTCGTCCACACACACACCCGCACCGGCGCCGCGCCGCCCGCGGGGACCCGGACCCGCATCCCGCACGTCACACGTCCCTCGCCCCTCTCTCGTCCGGCCGGAGGATGTGCGTTTTTTGTCGGTGCCATCGTGCGCTCATCGACATGCTCGCTCTCGTACCATCACAAAACTCTATTCTCTAGCACGCTCGCCCCCTCGCAGCCGGAGAAGGTGCATGCTCACAAGAGACCGGCGACACAGAAGTGCAAAGGCGCCCACCCGGGCGGTCTCACAGGCCGACGCCCCGCGCCCCAGCGCCCGGAAAACTAGGAACCGAAGGGGCTCCGTGTACAAGGGGAGGCCGGCCGGACGCCGGTCCGTCGCGCGCGGCCCGAGTGGGGGGGGGGGCGGGGGGGTCCGCCTCAAAAGGCAAAGGCGGCGGGACCGCTCGGCAAGGTAGGTATGATTGCGCCGGCGCCAAAGTTCGCGTTGCGGCGCATGGGCGGGGCGGCGATGTCGCACCCCTCCGCCAGCACCTCGGAGAGCATCGCGTCCACCTCGGCGGCGCGGTACACCGGCTTGCGCTTCCCGTCGCCGCCCTTTGCGCCCATGCCTCCAGCCTTGAAGTCGACGCCCGTGAGAGAGGTCAGCAGCCGCGCCGCCGTGCCCGCGCCGTATCCAACCCACGTCTGGCCAGCGCCGCCCTTCTCGCCGGGCACGATCGTGTCCGACTCCTCGGCGGGCGCGGCGCGGCCTCGCGTCCGGTACGCGGGCGAGCGCGCCGCGCGCTGCGGCGCCGCCGAGTCGAACCACGCGTGCTGCAGGATGGCGGCGGGCGAGAGGCGCTCAGCCTGGTCGATGGCGAGCATGCCGTCGAGGAGGTTGAGCGCCTCGTCCGTCAGGCGGTGCTGCTTGCCGTACCACTGCAGCACCGTCGAGACGGTGCACTTGCCGTCCTACGGCACGTGTCGCCGACATGTCGTGGACGTGTCCTGGACACGGCGACGCGGCGCACTTGCCGTCCTGCTGCGCGCGCTTGAGCTTGTCGTACCTCCAGTCCGCGTGCGACGCCTCCTCGAGCGGGAAGAAGCCTACGCGGCATTGTCTCCGACGTGTCGCGGACGCGTCCTCGACGAGCGACGCCCCCTCGAGCGGGGAAGACGCCGAGCAGCATCGCAAAGAGGGCGACGCCGCACGACCACACGTCGGCACCAAAGGCGTACCCCGCCTGGGAGAGCACCTCCGGCGCGCAGTAGGAGCGCGAGCCGCAGCAATGGTAGAGCATCTCCACCTTGTACGCGGCCGCGGTGCTGTTTGCGCGCTCGCCGAGCGGCTGGTACTGGTGCGCGAGCCTACAGGAGGGGGGAGCCCGGGACGGCTCGTGGGGGGGGGTGGCCTCCGGGTCGGGCGGTTGCAGGCTTGCCGGGGGCGCGGCTCGCCCAAAGTCGATCACGCGGAGGGAGAGGTCGGAGGTGAGCATGAGGTTCTCGAGCTTGAGGTCGCGGTGCAGCACGCCTGGAAGAGGAGAGGCGCGCGCGGGCGTCAGCCGAGAGGGCGCGGGCTGGCAGACTTTGCGCCGCGGCGCTGCAGCGAGCACCCATGCCGTGCACGTGGTCAGGGTTAGGGTTAGGGTTAGGGTCAGGGTCAGGGTCAGGGTTAGGGTTAGGGTCAGGGTTAGGGTTAGGGTTAGGGTTAGGGTCAGGGTCAGGGTTAGGGTTAGGGTCAGGGTCAGGGTCAGGGTTAGGGTTAGGGTTAGGGTTAGGGTTAGGGTCAGGGTCAGGGTCAGGGTCAGGGTCAGGGTCAGGGTTAGGGTTAGAGCACCCATTCCGTGCATGTGGTCGACAGCGCCGAGCAGCTGCCACATGAAGCGCTTGCACTCCTTCTCGGTGAGCGTGTGTCTCCGCTCCACCAGCCTGCGACGCAGCGGGAGGGGGGGGGGGGGGGTTGGCACCGGCGTGCGCCCCGGGAAGGATGGGAGGGCCTGGGACAGCCTGGGGAGGGCCTGGGAGGGCCTGGGAGGATGAGAGGGAGGGGAGGGAGGGAGGGAGGGCGGAGGAGGTGGGGTGGTGGGGTGGTGGGGAGGAGATGGTGGGGAGGCGGGGAGGAGGAGGCGGGGAGGCGGGGAGGAGGAGGTGGGGAGGCGGGGAGGAGGAGGTGGAGCAGGAGGAGGAGGAGGAGCAGGAGTGAGAGGTGGGGGCGCGGCTCACGCAAAGAGCTCCTCGGTGCAAAGCTCGAGGAAGATGACGTACTCGTCGCGGCGGCGCGCCGCGCCGTACACGGCGATCACGTGCTCGTGGCTCGCGTGCTTCGTGATCGCAACCTCGCGCTCGATCCGCTCCAGGTTCATCTTTTTGAGAGAGACGCACTTGGCGGCGACGTACCTGCGCGCGGCCACAGGCGGGCCGCGCGCCCGTCAGGAGCGAGGCACGCTCGCGCGGCGGCCACGCCTCGCACAGCACGCGCGTAACGCGGACGCGTGGCTCCTATCCCGGTGTCACCCTCTGCTACGGTGGGTCGCTCACGTCTTTGTCTGCTTGTCGAGCGCGCGGAAGGTGGTGCCAAAGCCGCCGGAGCCGAGCTTGACATCCTCCTCGATGTGGAAGCGGCGAAAGATGCCCGTGTCCGAGCCACACAGCCTGCTGCTGACCGAATTGCCCATTTCGGGAGGACAAAATAGCAGCAGCGCGCCTCCTCCTCCTCCTTACGGCGATGCACACGAAAGAAAAAAACCGCGCTCCCCAACCATCAAACCGAGGCTCGCGCCTGCCCCCGTGCCGCCGGGTGCAACTTTGTACGAGAGGGGAATCCCTGCACCCTGGGACCCCTGTTAGACCTAAAGGTCGGCGCTTCGACCAACTAGGCCACCTTTTGCGCAAAAGGTGGCCTAGTTGGGGTGAAGACAGTCAGGCTGCTCGCACCATCCCTCGTTTGGTTTGTGTCTTTTCTTTCTTTTTCAGGGCGAACGCGGTAGCCGTCACGCGTCACTTTCCTGCCTCGAAAGGGCGGGGCTGTCCCGGAAAGTGAGAAACGCCGGGCAGCGTGACGCACAACTTTAACCTCCCATACGTGTCTTGCGAAAGAAGAATAACGATACCGGCTTAAAATACGGGGGAAGGACCCTCAGTTGACCAGGGGTTGTGCGCCAGGCCCTCCTGCTCGGCTCCAGCCGGTAGACAAGTCTTGTCATCAACAGAGTAGATGGATCTCACCTCGGGGCCGATGTGACCAAGCGCTGGTAGCGTGCTTTTACCTCACACCCATGGTCTCACAGTGTGCCGGCAGTCGCCGAGCAGTGTCGCTCACACAAGCCGCAGCACAAGTGACTGAGGGCCAGTGAGGGCGAGCCCATCGCTGTGACAGCTGTGGCAGCCGCACAGAGGCACAGTAGGCTGTGCCAACTATGCAGAGCGTGTGAGCAGCAGAGGAGCTGCTCTCCGGCTTCTGTCGCAAAGAGCTGCACGCCACCGAAGGCGCTGTCGAGGTTCGCCGAGCGCGGCGCAGGTTGGGGGAAGCCGCCACCGACGAGCGCGTTGGACTTTTCACTCCGGACAAAGACGGCGACACGCACACGAGCCGCGGCCGTGTCGCCGTCATAGCGGCGAGGCGCGGGACCGTCTGTGGCGAAGTGGGTCGCGTCCCCCGATTTCCGTCAACTCAAGGCCCTTCCCCTTTACTCCTTTTGGCGTGAGTGTGTCCGTTTTATTTCACGTTTCAGCCACAGCCTCGCCACCACCGCCGTGCGCCGACAGCGCCGACCGCCGCCTGGGTCTTCTGGCGGACCGCAGGAGGTCATGAGGGTCGATGGGAGTGCCAACCCCACAATGCCTAGAAACCCAGCCCAGTGCTTTTTTTCATCAGTACTAGCAGATGGACCGCTGCACGTCGCCACTGTAGAGCGCGCTGCCATACCCACGGCACGGGGACATGTACCGGATGCCGGGCGACTGCGGCGTGCATGCGACGAGGTGCGGGTGTCGGCCGCACTTGATGCGGCTCGGAAGCGCCTCGGCCGCTTCGAGGTTGGTCGTGCCCTCGTGGATGGCGGCTCCGTCGGTGAAAAGGATCAACTCGAAGCGGCGCTGCGTGCAGCTGGTCTCGAAGTGGCCGAGCCGCTGGATCGAGTCGAGGCCGGCGATGTCTGCGTCGGAGAGGCCGAGCTCGTGCCTGCGGGGGGGCACGCGCGGTGTTGGGGGCCGTGTCGGGGGCCATGCCGGGGCCGTGCCGGGGCGGTGTCGGGGGCTAGTCGGGGCCGTGTCTCGGGGACGTGTCGGGGCGTGCCGCCGGGGTCTTGCTGCGGCGGAGAGAGGCCGGCCGCACACACCTGACGTAGCGCACCAGCGGCGAGGCGTCGCCGTCCTCCTTGAGCGAGGGGAGAGTGTCCGACAGCACGCTCTTCGGGTTCCCGCCCACGCGTCCGCCCCAGCAGTGCTCCGAGCCGGCGCACTGCTGGTCGGCCCCAAAGTGGCGCGTGGCGAGCGCCGCGGTCTCGTCGATGACGACGGTGCGGCCGGTGTCCACGGAGAGGCCTATCTCGAGTCATCTCGATGAACCGGGAGATCTCGCGACGACGGTGCGGCCGGTGTCCGCACGGAGAGGCCTGAGCCCGGCGCGACGTAGAACCACATCTTGGACCAGCCCGCGGTCCGCAGGGCGGCGGTGCTCTTTGAGCGCGCGTCCCAGCGCGGGCAGTGCGACACCTCGACCCACGTTTGTGGAGGCACCGGCGTGAAGGGCGTCGAGAGGGCGGGCATCAGCCACGCCGAGTCGTCCGGGTCCATTCCCCCGCTCATCGACGCGTAGAGGAGCGCGTCGTTGGCGGCGAGGCGCGAGGCGCGCTGCGGAGAGCCGTACGGCGGCGAGAAGCGGCAGGGGCGCACGCAGCCGAGCTGCCCGTCCGACTGCGGGGGGGGGGGGGGGGGGCAAGGACGCGTGCCCGCAGGCATGCCATGGACGAGGCATGTCATGGACGTGTCGGGGACGTGTGTCACCTTGCAGCGGTACGACGGCGCGCGGCCGCCCGCCCAATACTGCGGCGTCGCTATGCCGCTGTCTGAGCCGGAGGTGAGGCCGCACACGCCGAGCGACCTGGCGATGCTGCGGAGGTGCCCCGGGACGAGATCCAAGTAGACGAGGTGGAGGGCCTCGACGTCAACGCGGTGGGAGGCGCCTTTCGATGTACCGATCCGGGCGGGTGTCGGTCGTGGTGCATCCTTCGTCTTGCCGTGATTGCCCCACGGCCTGGAGTGTACTGAAGCGCTTCGAGGTGTGCTTACACACATCTATCAAGGCGCCGTACAGCCGCCGAGAATACTCTCCCTGCAGCATCGCGTCGAGCTGCGCGGCGTCGTCGGACGCGAGGCCAACCGGCGCCCTGTACCCGCCCCCAGCTGGCAGCGACGGCGGTGTCAAAGGCAGCGGCGGCGGAGCAGGAGAGGGCGGGCCGGCGGATTTTGTGTAGCAGGCCGCGCCGGGAAGGGGGACGGCGTATTTGATGCGCTCGGAGTGCAGCTCGCATTTGCTCGTGCCGGTTCGAGCGAGGTACGGTGCAAACTCGAAGGCCTGGCAACCCGCGTCACACGCCGCCTCGCAGCCTGCCAGCGTCAACCCCCATCTCTCGTCGTAGGTGCCGACGCCACCGTCGGCGGTCCTGCACGCGCCCTCGGGGCGCAGCGCGACAATTCGTGGCGGCGTGCGAGGCGGGTGCGGCTTCAATTCGAGGTGTGGCTGGAGCGGCGGAAACGTGGGCGGGGCGGGCGGCAAGAGTGGCGGACGGCCGTGTCCGCAGCCGGCGGGCTGCAAGAAGAGCCGCAGGTTGATGGCGTCAAACATCGCAGCGTGGCCCTCCTCGTTCGGGTGCCATGCGTCCGCCCGCATCCTCGGCTGCCAGTGCGCGAGCGGCGATTGGCCCGCGCCGGCCTCTGTCCGTTCGAGGAAGTTGATCACGGGCCACCGCCACGCGGCCATGCGAGCATGCGTGCGGCGCAGCTCGCGCGTCTGGGTCAGGTCCAAGTCATCATTCGGGTAGACCCCGCCGAGCACCACCGACGCGCCGGCGCGCTCCGCGCTCGAGGCGAGCTCGTGCAGCCCGAGCAGGAAGCCGTCGGCGAGCTGGCGGGCCGCAGCCTCCGAGCCGGTGCTGGCGAGGCCCTCGTTGGCGAGGGACAGCCCGATGACGACCGTGCCGGGGACCTCGGGCCCGGAGAGCAGCGCAGCCAGCACCGGCGCCGTCGTGGCGACGGTGGCGCCGGGCACGGCAGAGTTGGAGAGGACGAGTCCGTGGCGTGGGTCCGCGAGAGCCGTCCGTAGCCGCCCCGCCCACCCAAGAGGCCTCTCGCCTGTGGTCGGGGAAGGCGCCGCCTGCAGCCCAGCAGCCACGGACGAGCCAACCACGGCGACGGTGCAGCGGCGTGGCGGCGGCAACGGTGGCGGCGGCAACGGTGGCGGCGGCGGCGGCGGTGGTGGCGGCTGCGGCGGCTGCGGCGGCAGTAGCGATGGTGGCGGCGGCAACGGTGGCGGCGGTGATGGTGGCGGTGGCGGCGGTGGTGGTGGAACCAAGAAGGAGAATGTCCCGTCTGAGAGATGCGCGATCGAAGATTCGATCTGGACGAATGTCGGCGGCAACGCGATCAGCAGCATGAGTCCGACGAAGACTGAGCACGCGCACAGCCGCAGAAAGCGCGCCGCTGCAGCCTTGGTGAAGCGCGGGCGCCGCGCTAAGAGGGCCCTGCCGTTTGAATCCTCGTCAGGCGCGGCGGGGTAGTCGACCTCCCCAGCTCTGCCGACAACCCGGAGATCCGCCATCGGACAACCGGACCGTGGAGCCGTCCCCCTGTCGGAGAGGTGTTTTTCATTGACGCCGTTCAGAAGAAATCGTTGGCCGCAACCGATGCGAGTCGACTGGTGTGTGTCGTCGTGGTTTCGTATCAAGAATACTCACTCACTCACCGGTGTTCACAGCGTTGGAATGCGGAGATAGTTACTGCTCTTTGTAGTGCCCCCCTTGGCACTTTACTCTCCCTGTCCCGCGTGACTCTCTCTCTCTCACATGACTTCCCTCGATTGTGTCACGCGGGTTCGCTTTCTGCGCCGCGTTCGTGCGCGGCTCGCTTTGTAGCAGCGTCTCATTCTGCCTTATATCTTTGTACGACCCTAGACGCGAGACCCCGGCTGCCCCTTCGAGGCTATCTTTTTTCGCGCCAGTCCCGTGCCCAGTGTTGCGCGAGGGAGTTTTGTTGTAAGATTCTTTTTTCAGTTAGCTCTTGAGCACTTGAGCACTGGATAGGGTCGATTCCGCATGGTACGTGACCCCTCGATCGTCTCGCCCTCCCTCACTGGTGTGTTCATGGGGGGGGGGGGGGTCATACACGTACATTTCCCGTGGGAGGACTCTGCTGACAGGGTTTTAATGCGATCCCCATGCGGGATGATATGAAGATGGAGACGTGGGCGGTGCGCATTACAGTTCAGCGCCGCCTCGGCCTCCCGCTCGATGTTGCCTGCCAGGCGGTGGAGGCGGGCAAGAAGGCGCCGAGCGGCAAGCCGCACGAAGAACTCGGCCATGCCGCAATGGTTGACCCGCGTGCAAAGCACGCGACAAGACACAAATTCCTACTCAACGACTCGTCAAGACCCTTCGCTCGGCGTGGGGCATGCTCATCGAGATGGAGCCGACTGCACACCTCAGTTACAGTAACCCAAAACAACCTGACGTGGCGGCGGCGAACATCGGGCGACGGGCATGTGCGCCTAGTTGGCGAATTGAAACTTACGAGCTAGAGCCGCCGGCGCCGGCCTCGGCCCGCGGGACAGCCGGCGCTGGGCGGCGAGGGGCGGCGATGGCGCGGCGGCGAGTGAGCGCGCCACCCTTCGGATCGGCGAGCTGCCGGTCGAGCTGCACGTTCGGCAGGGCAACATCGCCGACAGCGGCGCGCAGTTGCGGCTTCCCGCCACACGGGGGCCGGCGATGTTGTTGCACTCGAAAGGGCTCGCGGCGCTGGCGCCCTTCCTCCCCTTCTTCTTGGAGCGCTTCCCGCCGCAGCGCGCGGCCACCCCGTCGCTCCGGCAGCTGTCGGAGCAGGTGGCGGCGGTTGGCTCGGCGCGAGCTGAGCAAGGCGCGCGCAAGGGCGAGCGCGTGTACTCGCCGCGCATGCTCGCCGGCTTCTGCGCCATGCTCAACGAAGGGTGGCCGCCCGCCGCGGCGGGCAGCCACGCCCCTCCGTCGCCGCCGCGCCGGCTGCTGCTCAACGCCAACGGAAGCTGCGCCGGCTGCACGCGTTTGCCCCTCGTCCGCGGGAAGATCGGCCGCCTGGTCGCGGCAGAGGCCGCGGCGTCGGACTTTCGCTGCGAGGTCGCCCGCGGCGCGTGCGACGTGAGGCCGGCTGTGTGGCCTCGGGGCGATGAGCCCGGCCTCCCGGACTGGTACCAACGTTTTTTGCGCCAGCAGTCCACTGGTGTGGATTGAAACGCTGCCAACCATGTACGCCGAGTGCAACATAAAGCCGGCAAACAGGGTGTGCCACGCCAAGCTGTGTGCTTCGAAGTTGATTTCCGCCCCCCAAGGGTGAGAGGTCCTTCTCGATTCCTTGGCAATCAAGAGAGACAGGCATTCCGTTGAAGATCCCACCTTAGCAGCTGCTGCGCACTGGCACTTGGAGCGGCACTGCCACTGGCGGTGCGAACCCGCTTCTTTTTTCTAGACGGCTAGGAACTAGGATATTTTGAGAGATATGAGAGCAGCCTCGCTCCCATTCGCAATCCGGTTGGCCGGCGTGGCGGGTGCGTTTTGGCAAACCGGGTGGTTGAATACAATCAATGATACATTTTACCACGGCGCTTACACAAATGCCGAGTTGGCTCCACCCAGCGAGAGACCTCTCGGGTTCTCGCGCAAGCCACAGGACCAGTCACTACAGGAGTTTTCATGCCTCTCTAAATTCTAGTAGGGGGGCGAGGGTGGCACTCGCGCGCGCGGTGCGCTGACGGCAGCTCGGCGCCGAGAGCACCCCCGCACAGACCCGCGAGCGCCGGGCCTAATGCCAGGCGCTGCACAACTGCCCGGCTCACTTCTTCCGCTGCCGCCGGTTCCCCTTGCCGATGCCGCCCTGCACGGGCTGGCAGACGGCGGACGGCTCTCTCCCGCCTAAGGGAGGGTCGATTTGCCTCCCTCGTGAAGGGGTCCGGGGCGGCGGTGTGCGAGCGGTGTCCTTGCACGGGAGGGCTGCCTATCGGCAGCCTGTCGGCTGTCTCTCTCGGCTGCCTGTCGGCTGCCTCTCGGCCGCCTCTCGGCTGCCTCTCGGCTAGATGCTCGCACCTCGGCGGCGGGATGGCAGGTCGAGCTGGTGCGAGCAGAGCCCGTCGTGGAAGTCGACGAACGTGCATCCGGGCGTCGCGCACCTGGTGAAGGGGTGAGAGGGGGGGGGGGGGGTCCTGGGGGGACAGGGAGAGGAGAAGGAGGCGAGGGAGGCAGAGGGAGGCGGAGGGC